AAAAGTAAAACGTGTAGAACAAAAGTAAGCACAAAAATAAAATCCTTGATGTTTTGTTTATTCATTGTTACCATTTAAATTTACTCAAATAAAATAATAACTAAAAAAAAGCGTTTGTAAAACATGCGTTTGCTGTTATTCTAACCCCACATTTTAAGAATTATTTTCACGTACTTATAAATAAAAGTAAACAATTTTATATGTAGGATTAAGCAAGTAAATGTTATAAGAATATTTACATGTGGAGTTATGTCTAAAAAAGTTAGTATTTTCGTAGATTTCAGTACCTAAAACCCTGATGGTTTGATCGTTTTTTGCACCTGTTTATTCGTTTTACTGCTGCGTCTTTGAAAATACTCAGGTGGCATGACATAACATTCCTATTATTAGATAAGCTTTAGATTATTCAGTTATTAAATGTTTGAAATTATTTATCTTTGCGGAAAACACTATTTAAAGAATATGAGGCCCTTAAATGTACTCTCGCAAAACAGCACAACAATCACTACAACAAAGTAATACAAACTGACTTTTGAATAAGAAACCTACAAACTGGTAAAAAGTGTTACATAATTTTTTGTAAATACTCGCCGCTATAAAATAAATGTATTTGAGCAGTTCCAAAAGAGTTTTAAACACATTTTTAATTGGCTTTTTTCTCTATGACTTTAAACTTCCGATACAAGTTTGTGACATCAGTTAACTCAGTTTTTGCTCCTTTTTCACCCCTTTAAATTAAGTTATTTTTCGGTACTCGTATGCAGATAATTTTAGGTGTAAAAAAATTTGAAAGGCTGTGTTTTGGAATAGCGGGGATTACAACCTTATTAGTAAAATGGCCTTATTTGATAGAAACGCCGTATAGTCCTGAAACTACTTTTTTTTTAATAATAAATCTCTTACCCATGGTTCTATTCCCTCTGCCAGTAATCCATCTATAAGATTGTTGTAATATTGCACTCCATCTGGATTAATTTCGTTTAAAAATCCGCGTGGTAAAAGTCTAGGCCACGCTATAGAAAATCTGTAGTAGTTTACACCTAGTTCTTTTAGAGCAGCAATGTCCTCATTGTATCTATGGTAGGAGTCGCATGCTACCTCAGCGTTGCTTCCGTCAACGACTATCGGTACAGCATGTATTATAAAGTCCCATTTGCTTGGACCTTTGCCGGATTCATTCCAGGCTCCCTCGATCTGGTATGCCGATGAGGCCGCTCCAAACAAGAATGAATCTGGAAATGTTAAATTGCTAATCTCTTGACATGAGGTCCTGGAAGGAATAAAAAATGAATGAAGTCCGAGTAAGATGGCGGTACGAGGGAGAAAGAAATGTACCAAATTTACTAGATGGAGGCAGTAACTTCTTATTATGCTTGCAATATTACTTAATTGCGTTTAAGGTGACGAAACTGTTCAAAATTTGATGAAAATATGTCCTTCGCATTTTGTAACATTCATATTACTGACAATGGTTTAGGATATTTATTTTTTATTGAAGTAACAAGTAAAGATGTTAGATCATAATTTATTATTTTATTTAGAAAGTATAGAATTACATTTAAAACAATAGAAATGTAGGGAAAATGTCGATATGATGGCACACCAGGTATGATGGCACCCTGCCAATTTTGGCGCTATTTATTTGAATTTAATTTAATTGAAACTCAGTGGTACAATGTGAAAAATTAACAAAGTTTGTAAAGTTGTATTTTTGATATGTTTGTTATGATGGCATAGGGTGCCAAATGTTTGTTATGATGGCATAGGGTGCCATCATATCGAATGGATCTGAAATCTGTATTTGGCAATGTGCTTTGGTTAATGGTGATGTTTTGGTAATTGGTGATGTTTTTTCACAAGGTTAATTCGATTATAAGAATAAGAATATAATTCAAGAAATGCCAAAATTCAAGCCTCCAAGTATCAAACCTCCTCGCCAAGCGTGGAGTGAAGAAAACATGCGGGAAGCCATAGAGAACGTGCAACAAAAGAAGTTGGGCTGGAAGCAAGCTTCCAGAACATTCAATGTACCCAGCACTACTTTGCGGCGAAGAGTTGGAAGAAACATTGTCTACCAGAAAGGAGACCTTGGAGGATGCCGTCCAACATTCTCTAAGGAAATCGAAAATGAGATTATCTCTCACAATACAAACATGGAAACTAGGTTTTTAGAATTAACAACATCAGATGTTAGGTCACTAGCATATCAAATTGCGGAACGGAATCATATTCCACATAAATTCAATCACGCGGAGGAAAAAGCTAGATGGGCATGGTTACATCAATTTATACAACGAAATCCAACAATAAGCTTGCGAACGGCAGAAAATACATCCGCCGCTCGGGCTCAGGCATACAATAAAAACAATATCGCAGCTTATTTAAAAAAACTTGACGAAGTTTTGACTCTGCATAATTTATCTCCTGAAAATGATTATAATATGGACGAGACGGGCTTTTCAACGGTCCAAACAAAACCAGAGAGAATATATGCTACAAAAGGTTGCAAAGAGGTGGGCAGTTTGATGACAAGTGCCGAAAGAGGAAGTCATTATACTGTAGTGTGCGCAATGAACACAATAGGATCATTCATACCTCCAGCGTTCATCTTTCCTAGAAAGAACATGAAGCAGGAATGCCCCTGCAGGATCGATTTGCTTTTGCCAGGAGAGTGGATGGATGACATTTGAAATTATGCTGAAGTGGCTGAACCACTTTACAAAATTTGCTAAGTCAACACCAGAAAACAAGGTACTACTTTTATTGGATGGTCACATGAGCCACAAACATCTTAGTGTTCTTCAAAAAGCGAAAGAGCATGGAATCGTATTATTCTGCTCTCCGGCTCATTGTACCCACAGGTGCCAACCTCTGGACATCGGATTTTTCGGGCCGCTACAGATCTACTACAATCAACAAATTCGTCTTTGGCTAAAGGCTCACCCTGGAAGGGCAGTAACACATCTGCAAGTAGCCCAAATTTGTGGAGCCTATCTCAAGGCCGCACTACCCTCAACCGCCATCAAGGCCTTCCAGAAAACAGGAATCATTCCGTATAATCCAAATATATTTGAGGATTGGATGTTTGCCCCAGCCGAAACCACAAATCAACCTCTTCCTTCTGAAGAAAACACAGGCGAACGAAATAACCACACTGTTGCTGAAGTAGAGGAACACTTAACGCCACTCTGCAATCCTGTGATAGATTTTGAAAGACCAAGTACTTCTAAGGTATTAAAAGCCTTGCACGGAGAGACAACTAAGTGCAAGTCGAAACTTTCTGTCAGTGTGGAGGACATTTCTCCTCTACCAACAGCGCCAATGCTCCAGACAACAACAAAAAACAAGGAAAAAAGGCAAGTCGGGCGTCATAAATTCAACACCAGATATTGAGACAGAAAAAGCTATCGAAAATGAAAGAGAAACTTAAAAATTATTGACGAGCGAGATGAAGCTGAAGATGAAAATAAAGAGAACTAACAAATAGATATCGAAGATGTTGATGACGAAGATGTCCCCTGCTTATACTACAATGAACTATTTTCTTAGTCTAAGTCCAAAGAGATCTGGAAATGCCAATCATGCGGGATGTAGGCCCATGCAGCTTGCGCTGGAAAACCTCCAAGAACAAAAAACTTCACATGCGACATTTGTAAATAATATTTGTTTTACTTGATACTTGGTACTTATAATTACCAGAATAATGGCCACCTCGTAGTCCAGATGTCACATCCCTCGATTACTTTGTTTAAGTTTACATAAAAAATGTTTATACTACGCCAGTGTGCACTGACGAAGAATGAAGACAGCTCGAAACATTTCCCGGACAGTAACTCCACATTAATTTGCTTAATGTCAGGTACAAGCTATTTATGTATTAAACAAAACTACCACCAAATTGAGCACTTTAAGAAAATGCGCGTTTTTTAATAAAGTTACTTTTACTTATTTTAGGCTTAATATTATTGTACGCATTATTATTGTGCTTTACACCCTTGCAATCCGTATGAAGTGATTTGTTACTATCTTACTGCAGGTTGAGGAAAAGTAGTGAATATCTTTTAAAGTCTAGCATGCTGCGCATTTATCGAAAAAAATGAAAATTTTCTAAGACCATACCACTATGTTGAGTAAAGTCACTGGTTATCTATTCTATAACTCCGCCAATATTAGTTAGAAACTTCATATTATTCTTCTTTATGGCCTTCATATATGTATCGTGTGTGTAAAATTTGCTTTAAATATCTTTGAAAGGTCAGAAATAAAAAAATACACTTTTTTTATTATAACTTTCACCTTGCCTCTTTCTGGATATTTGTTTACAGAAACTTCTTACTTAAAACTAATTTTCCTATTACTTGTTTCACTTTAGACATTCAAAAACAGGGACATATATTAATAGTGCAATTCGTATTACTGCAAATATGCAACCTGTTATGGGGCAATTCATTTTGTGGTATTGATGTATTCTTTGTAACAAATGTTGAAGCGGATTACTCTTACTTGAGTAACGGTTTCCATTATTTTTGTATTGTTCACACTTGATGATGATTAAATAGCATCTAAGATACTTCAACCTTTCTTTGTAGTAATTCCTCTTCGGCTACAATAGAACAACGAAGAATAGAAGAACGTCAACCATCATGTCCCTTCAGAGTAAGCAAAACTTCTCCATTTTCGACTGTAATGGAGGCTGAAAATCGCCTTAAGTCATGTCTAGTGTACTGTTCGGGGTTTTCTAAATTTAAATATTCAGCAATATGTCCAGGGTTGCGAATTTTCTAATTAAAAAATTTTGGATTAAAAATTAAATTTTCAATTTTTAATCCCAAAATCAGGATTAAAAATTGAAAATTCAATTCTTAATCCCAAAATCAGAATTAAAAATTGATAACATATTTTTTAATTTAAAAATTGGAGTCACAAATAAAAAAATTATTTTTCAAATCAAAAGCTGGAATGGAAAGAGACAAAAAAAGGAAAGATTTACATATTTCTAACTGAAATACTATAATTAAAAGTAATTAAATGTAAAGAAGACAAAAAGTGTTAAACTATGAGGAAATTTTATTAAAAATAAGCTTTCTTTTTACAAAGAGAACAGGTAAGACATTTTACATTAAATTTAATCAATTATTTTTTTTTAAAAATTTGCATTAGCAAGTATTCTTTGCTCAAAATGCTGATCATTTAATTTATTGTATTTTGGCAAATTAAGCATTGTCGCATTACTAAAGAGTCTTTCGACGGAGGCAGAAGATGGTAAAGGTGTGTTGTATCTTAAGAATGTTTTTTTTTTTTATTTCTGGAAAGCGTTCTAAGATGCTAAGTTGACAGTCCGAGTTTTTTAAATATCTAGTCACTTCTGCAGTTACCTCCCTCTGTGACATTGAGGGCCGAAACTCGTCAATGGTATCATCCGGAGATCCAAAGTCAAAATCTTGAATTTCTTTTATACTATTAGTGATTGACGACTGTAAACAAATCGTGCTAAAATATAAACTTGAAACTTGACCGATATCTACATTCTAGTCACAGACCACCTAGACTGGCTTATAGAGCGACTTTGGTGAAAACACTTTGGAGCCTGATTTGGAGCCCAGCGCTCAGTCGTGTCCTAGCATTTGACGTGTACGCATCGCTGTGATTTCGATAATTAGACGTTTTATCATGGGCAAGTGTATTGTAAAACATTGTATAAATAGAAGTGATCGAGTTGGTGAAGAGAGGCGAAAAGTTTCCTTCTTTAGGTAAGTAAAAAAAAGGAATATATAAAAGGTAAATATGTACGCCATTTTTCGGTTAACGTCACAAGTTTCCAGGGTTAGCTTTATAATTTTGTTCGCCCACATAGTGTAGTGATTAACGTGATATTGTTATTATAAAATAATGAATGAATTACTGTAAAATATTTTTAGTAATTATTTACTTTATGTGAGTCTTAAATTTTTATGAAATTTTACCAATTCCCGTCATTTCGAGATAGCTGAAAATTAATTAAATATTTTTTTCAATTAAAAAAATCGCAAACAAAACTAATTTCAGATTCAGTATTCGTACAGTCAATTAATTTTTATTAAAGATCGTGGTTGTTTGACGTATCCATCTCGAGATGTCGTAGTAATATGCTAAGAAACAGAAAAATTAATAAAATTTTTAAATAATGATGAAAGCAGAACACCTAGGCTACAGAAAAATAAAATTGTTTATCATGTATTAAAAAACTTTCTGAATGTGAACATATTTGAAAATTTGCATGAACATCAATTTGATAATTTGCCTAACAATTGTAATCATTTAATAGAACTTGTAAGGGCTGAATGTGAAAAGTATATCGATGTACGAATAAATCATGAAGTCAAATTATTTAATTCGGTAAAATCTACGAAAAGGCAAATATTAAATAAATTAATATTATTTAGAGGACAATAAATATATTTAAATTATTTTGTAGTTTTATTTAATATGACACTAAAATATACTATTTTCTGAATTACAAACTTAAAATTGAATATTTGTCATAAGATGCAATATAATGTTTAATATGTAATAAAAATATTACTTAATCCGGATCTGCTTAAAGATGCGCGCGATCAGATTGCTTTCCACACTCCACTTCCCCGGATTTTGCATTCACTGGTACCCGTGCATTGGAATTAGATACGGCCAGTCTAGGTGATCTGTGGTTCTAGTAATTTCTCCGGCAATGTTACCTCTAGACTATTGAAGATGGCGCTGTGCGAGCTCTAGTTCTTTAGTTCCGAATGGTAGCACACGAAGTGCACAAGCGCCAAATAATTTAAAATTCAACTTGAGATTAACATTTTTTTTCTATTTTTCAATCCTCTATTTAGGATTAAAATTTTTATTTTAAATTTTTAAATCGATTGTTGGGATTAAAAATTTATTTTCAATTTTTCAATCCGATTTTTGGGATTAAACATTTATTTTTAATTTTTTAATCCGGTATTTGGGATTAGAAATTTGAAAATTATTTTTAATTAAAATTTTCGGGATTACAAAATAAAAATAAATTTTTAATTTAAATGTTAATTCAATTATCTTTTTAATGCATTATTTGCTACCCTGGTTTCAACATGCTAAGAATAGTATGTACCAGTATGATAAGTAATAAATAATTTTCTACTGTTTATATTGACAGGTCACAGATAAATATTGTACTTGCGATAAAAACTTCGTGGTTTAAAGGGTCAGTGATCATCTACAAAAAGTGAAACTTCTGTATTTATAATTTTTCCCGTCTCGAAGAAGCACCATACCAGCGGTTATTCTTAAACATCATCCATGGTCAACCGGATTCATGTAACCATCTCTTCGGCGAAAATGCCAAATATTAAAATTATCTTTGTTAATAACCATTTCTTGTGTGAGATTAGTCTTATTGTTGTTATTTCTGTAATGACACAACCCTTAACATTGTAAATTGCAGTATTGACGTAAGCACGATTATTATATCTAGCTAGCTTAGAGAGTATAGGTACTAGTTTCAAGTTTATAGGTAAACGACAATTATCAGTCCGCCTGTGGCCGTTAGTGCAATAATAACATTATAGACAACATTTTACCAATTTTTATTAATAATAATAATGAGTAATATTAGGGAAAGACTGATAGCAAGTTCACATGTACCTATTTATTTTTCTAATATTTGTGTTCTTACGAACGAGAACAAGATTGGAGCAACTAATGGAGAAAAGTCAGAACTACGTTTGGGAAGACATTATTGAATACGATGGCGAGGTAGAAGGAGAAAATACCTTAGTAACTGATAATAATAATTCAAAGGAAAATATTTCAGATGATGAAGGGACCGAGAATTCTATTTATTTACACTGAAAAAAAAAAACAACCTATTAAAGTAAACAGTTTCCTTAAGTAAGTATAGCACTTTGGAAATTCTGTTTAAAATATTTAAATTTATGAAAATTCACACAATTATAAGTATTGATGTTTTTTGTTTAGTTTAACTAAATTTTTTCGTTTAATTCTACAACTTATTTTTGTTTTAAAGTATTAGAATATTGTGGAGCAATAACAATAATAACTATGACGTCAAATTAAACAGTTTTCAGTTAAGCGTATTTAATAATAATTATACAAAATATCTAGATATGCAAAGAAACAATTATTTAGATAAGGCAGCAACTAATTATGAGAATATTAAAGAAATTAAGATACAGAAAATTGTACAAATTAAAAATAATAATAGAAAGTTGAAGCAGTAATACTTATGAATGAAGCATAATATTTTACTCCAGGCCAAAATCATATAAAAGTGAAAATTGTTGTTGTACTTATATCACGGAGAATATTGAGAATGCATTTACAATGCGGTGTATTTATCCTTTTTTATATATATGTGTTTTGTATGGTTCAGAATAGAGGAACTAGATGTGAAAGTTACTTATTGTGAGAAATTTCCTTTTTGCAGCATACCAAAAGTTAACGAAAAATGAATATTACAAATACCAGGCTATAAAGTTAAGTATAAAAATAATTCGTTATGTATTTTAGAGAAAATGAAAAAGAAATTAGAAATGCAGTAGTTGTCACATAGCAGAAATGTGTATTAAATAAATTTATGTTTGTTTAAGAAAACAAATTATATATTTTTGGAGATGATAAAATAATAGGTAATGCAATAAAGTTTTGATGGTGCTCTAATCCATACAAAAAAAGACTAACTGTTATATTTTTGATATAAATAAATACTAATCCACTGTGGATTGTAAGATAAAGTTTTCCACTTTTTTTTTAAATAACTATGCATATTTACCAATTAAATAAAAGGGTTAGACACCCGGTCACTATCCACTTGCACTGCATAATGGAGACTGAAATTCTTAATCATTGATCTAATTTGTCTGTTTGCGATCATTAGCAAAATTTTTCGATTAGGTCTTATCAAGGTATACAGCATAATTATTTGAAAGTTGATTGTGCAATGCAGGTTAATAGTTTAATCATCTCATTTAACTGTTTATAATAATTCATGAAATTTTTCAGTGACCTGATTCAGCGTTTCTTTACAATATTGGGGCCTGTTTTTTTATAGTCATGTTAGACAAATAACTAATAACTGTTTCTCCTATACAAAGAAACTACTTTTAGTGCAAAATTTGGCAAATAAAAAAAATATCTTGGAAACATCGGGACTTTTCCAACCCATCAGTTAATAACGTTGTGTGGTAATATGTATCTAATCTGCGATTTTTAGGGAAATAAGAATATGCAGGTACAATTAGTAACCAGATTTTTTTTTAATATTCACAATATAGCAAAACAAAAAGTTACTCTCTGCTCATATATTTTATTCTACATACTTTTGGTGATAACATTTAAAAAACTGAAAGATACCAAAGAAGGACTATTTCCATTTATACACAAGTATCAATTAAACATTTTGTTGCTATGACATTTTTGTAATATTTTGCTGATTCCTTGGGAGTTCTTGTTTTGTTTTCACTTTCGAAGTCGACATCATAGAGCCCTAATGTAACTCTGTAAAGGAAAAAAGTTGATTTAAATTATTCTAATGACATATACAATATATAACAACAATTTTGCGACAAACTTTCAAGACTGATTCTGATTCTCTTGTCAGAGAAACTAAAAAAATGGTAAGGTTTTTTCCAAAAACGATATTTAAGCGCCACAATCCTTCATATATTACCTGTGAGACACAGTATTCGATAAATTAGCAGTGGCTGCTCTTGAGTACCATACCAGGGAGAGCGGAAAAATTTAAGGAAAGTGTTGAAAAAAAATCAAATATAATTGGATAGTTTTATTTTGAGTACTATTGAAATGTAGGGAAAATGTGCTCAAGATTATTTTGTATAGTGAAAGTGCATTCTTCTGTTTTTGTATGAAATAAACTTTTCAATTACTTTTTCATTAGTTTAGCATTTCTCGCACCATTGATTTTTCAATAGATAGCATTGCAACTGCTGTTAGTCTGTCTTTACAATCAATTTAATCTTTAACAATCTTTTAAAAAACAGACCAGAAACAATATATAACAAAATTCTACACCACATCTGAACAAATTACGTTTAATATGAAAAAAAGCGATGAAGAGCCACAAATTATTTGGTTACGGTCGGACAAAATAAAGCCCAAACTGCATAATAAACGTATGCTACTTTCACTGCGCCTTCCACTTCTGTGCGACAGTAACCATGACCACCGCTGTAAACATTTTACAGATATAGAGGCGTGCTACGAGGAGCCCACATGTTTTCAGAGTTTTTCAAACGAATTTTGCAATTCGAGTGAAATTGACTGCACATATTTATCTTTTAATGTCCTTTTAATATTTCATAAGGCTAATCCCCCCTGCACGGACCGCCACTGTAAATTAGGTACTCAAGAGCCATTAAAAATTTAGCCAGTAAACTTACTATAATATGTACGTTAATGTTTAAGTGTAATTAAAAATATTCAGATCATGTTGAAAATTGCACTACTGTGGCAATAGACATATCAGAATTTAAACAAGCAGAATACAAAGGTTTCCCTTAAAAATTTAAATATTTTTTTGGCTTTTCTTTTGTGATTAATTAAAGTTAAAAGTTTCCTCGTACTTGTCTTATTAGTTTTGTTCTACGAAAACTTTGAAATATTTCGCAAAAAAGTTATTATCGTAACGAAAAAATTATGTTAAACCTGACAGTTCTTCAAATTTAAGAAAAAAACCTGTTAAAATGGTAACAGTCAATTGAGTAAAAATTAGTATTTCTTTAAAATGATTGATTTATAAAAATATATTTCTTTTTATTAAATTGAAAGTTTGTATATTTGTTAAAAATAGCGTTTGAACAATTATTTTCCAGTGACTTTTCAAATTTTTTTAGAATAAAAATGGTCAAATTATGAGTATACTATATGCGTCACAAATTTTTGGACCTTGTTGTCTAATTTTTCTCTAACTTTTAAATTAATTTATTTTTATAGTAATTGAGTTATTGTTAGTGAGAAGGGAACATTATGGTGTGGCGTGTATAATCTATAAAAATTAAACTACAGCTTCCTGATGATATTTGTAATAGAAAACTCGTATACGAAAAAGTTCTACCTTCGCATTTTTTTTGTAAATTGAAGTTCATTTATTCAACGAAAATGAAGGCCGACCCTGTGTTATTTATTAAAAACTTTGGAAATGTTTTTATGCGACGCGAGACGCAACCTTATAATTTAAGTCGGTATAATCTAATACTAGTAGTACTAAAAGAGGTTTAGGTTACATTGTCAAAAAATTTGTGCAGTCAACTGATTTTGTATTTGTATTGAATTCATTATTCACTTAATTATTAAATATTAAGCATCATCCATCGACCCATCAGTGTTAAAAAGTTAAAGATTCCAGGCAAAAGTTTTTATTTTGTAATTTCACGATAGTGACAGTGTAATTTTTATAGAGAAGTAAAAAAGAAGAATAGCGTGCGGATTCCATTAAAAACGAGATTCTTACTTCTTACTTTGCTTAATTTTTTAGTTTGTGCACAAACTAGTTTTACAATGAACCGAGAAAACAATGCATTTACTATTTCCGAAAATGTCGATATGGTGCAGCCGAAGAAAATGCGTTCACGGTAACTAGGTTGTACCGGGAATGATGGCCACAACGTCACCTACTATGTGCAAATACAATCCTACAGTGCGTTCAGGGGTTGCGAGATACGGGAAGTGTTATTCCTCGAGGAAAAGGACGTGGTCAGCAAGTGAACCTTAGTGTTGAAGATGCAGTGTTGAAAAATCTTGACGAATACCCCACAATTAGTACTCTACGACTCGCACATCAAGTAGGAACCTCATCTCGTACCGTACATCGCATCTTAAGGCGCCATCTGTTGCACCCCTATCATCTGCAACCAGTTCAACAGATTTTACCCCCGGATTGTGATCAACGAATGCGTTTTTGCAGATGGTTTTTACGGCAATGTGCTAATCAAGTAGACTTTCCTGCTTATGTTTGTGTAACAGATGAGGCGACATTTACCCGTGATGAAGAGAATTTCCATAAATATGCACATATGGTCCGATGAAATCCTCACGCGATTAGGGAAACTCATTTTCAACATCGGTAAATGTTTGGGCTGGCATAATAGGCGATGTACTTGTGGGTCCCTATTTCTTTGAAGGACGACTAAATGGACCAATATATGCTAACTTTTTGGAGAACCGGTTGCCTGAATTATTGGACGATGTGGCATTACAAGTTCGGGCACGCATGTTTTACCTTCAAGATCGGGCTCCTCCACACTGTACTCGAGAAGTAACGACACTTGAATGAAATGTTTCCTTATCGATGGGTTGGACGCTTTGGTCCAGTGCCATGGCCACCTCGGTCAGCCGATCTATCTCTACTGGACTTTGGAGTCACTTGAAGTCATTGGTTTATAGTACTCCAGTTACTACGGTGAAAGAATTGCGAAACCGTATACTTGAAGCTGCTTACACAATTATTAGGGGAATGCCTGAAATTTGGAAAAATATTCGCCAAAATTGGGTGCGTCGGTGTCATGCCTGTATCAGCGCTAATGGGGATTAATTTCAACATTTTCTCTAGAAATGGTAAGTTTTATTTCATTTTGTTCCATATTTTAATGGAGTTTGTTTAGTGCACGCAGTTAGCAACTACAGATGCTTACGGATGTGGTTTTGTTTGCGAACTCTTGCAATAACAACAATGCATTTAAGATAGTAATTACTATTCATTATTATAATAAGAAAATATCAGTTTTTTTTAAATATCTATTTTTCTTAGTTTGTACTTTTGCATTGAAAAATTATCCAAAAATTTCTTTCTATCTTTTAACTACGATTTGTTTACGCGGCTGGTCTACAGCACGTAACTCATCGTACAGCACTTGGATAGGACTGTTCCAGAGAAAATATTTTGATCTATAATTGAACTTTAATTTACGACAAAAAAAAAACATAAAAATATAACTTTTTCGTATAAGACTTGTTACTAATATCGTTAGGAAGCTGTAGTTTAATTTTTATAGATTATACACGCTACACCCTGTATATACACTTATAGATGTAGCTATTATGAAAGAATTGTACCAAGTTTGTATTTTTATACCTTCAGTGGTTCTTAGGTAACTGATCAAAGCGAGTCCAATTCTTGAAGGATTCTAGAACCCTTAGTGCCTTTTCACACTTACCGGAACCGGGTAATCGGCAGTCACTACCAAATGCGTATTGCTCATAGAACTAATATTAAGATTTTATTATTAAGAACAAGCATTAAGATCTTCGTTCTGTTTTCGGTAAGTCCGAAAAGACAGTTAGGAACGTTTTAAGAAAAAAGTTTTGCTTATTTCGTCTAAATGAATCGGTCACAATGATGTGTCGTGTACTTTCAAAGTTGGGTTCCAGATTCGGTTTCCGGATTCATTTAGAACAACAATTGACCCCTCTTAATTATAATTTAGTTCTTCCTAGATTTTGGTTATATATTTGCCTTACATAATTGTAGCCCAATTTGTACCAAAGTAACAAGTAAAAATTTTGTCCACTTTTTTTTATTGCAAACTGGACTTTCAGTGGGGATAAGTATTGAGTGTAAATGACACTTACAAATATCCATTGTTCCATTCGAAACTATCCAGTAAACTCCAAGCGGTGTAAGCAGTAAGTCTCACTCCATCTTCGTAAATGGCTTTCAGTGCTTGAGTTAGATACAACTACAACATCATGTGTCATAAATAAATTGTTATGGGTCAAATATTTTTATGGTTTACGTGGGAGAGATGATATGTACTAGTATATGAGGATATGATTACGTATGATTTTTGTGTAATTTTCCAAGGTTATGAAAATTCTGAACTTTGATACTGTTTTCACAGTCTTGGTAGCTAAAAAAAGGTTCGTTATTAGTTTAAATGGTGCTAGATGTTCTTATTATTGAGCCGAGGTTACTCCTATAATGTTCATCGAATATGAATCAGTAACACATAGATAATAGTACTAACTATATTGTTGCTTCCTTTAATTTTATGGTGATGTAATTTCAATTCTACTATCCAAAGACACTAATTGTACTGTTGGAGACTGAGCTATTATATCAGATGATCACTAATGATAAAGGTTAATTAATAAACTCATTAAACCGTCCTTGGTAGCAGTAATCTTCCAGTAGTTATTTTATTAATGGCATCTAAATATAATATTAAAATGACAATAGTCCTTGACGATGGATTGAGATTTTCTACCTGTGCCACACTGTGGCATAGTTATTTTGAATAAGTTTGCTTGTACTAGATTTTTGTTAATGCCTACCTGATAATAATTAATCCTTGCTGTATCGTTTATAATGTTTGGATAATCTGCAAATCCTTGTTCGGTTATAGCTATCTCAGGATTCCGATAATTCTTTTTTATGTACACCAATAGCTCTCTAAATCCTTCTGGAAAAATCTACAAAATATCAAATAAGGCCGTAGTGAAAATTTATGTAGCAAACTTAAAAATAATAGCTGTAAGTTCAAATGATTAACAATTATTTTCATTTCAGGTGTGTTCAAAAGATAACTTCAAAATCAGATATTGTAAGTAAATCCGATTCTATTCAGTATAGACTAGTAACTACAGCATCAGTACTAGTATTATATAACAAGTGCTATAGAGGAAATACCAGAAGAACTATTACCTTTAGAAAATCTGATCCTTCCCATGAAGGATTTTGATAGGTGATCACACCATCGTCGTTATTGAAGCTAGGGACAGGTTCTTCAGAGCTAGTACCAGGTGTGGTTAGCGCACTGGTATAATGGTTTATCGCTATAAAATCATAGGCGCCTTTGATTGCTAACTTTTCTAAAATTGTGAACTTTGGTAAGCGAGAAACTGGGAATCCCTGAACAACACTATAGTTTCCAATATTATCAATCATGGTCTGAGGGTAATCACCATACACCAAAGGGTGAAGATACCATCCCAACTAAAAGCATAAAAAGTATAACACGTAGTAAAATGTCATTTTTTCTATAAATCTTTTTTTCCTTTCACTGTCTTTTTCATTGGAATATGAGTTCTATTTGTTTATAGAGCATATCTTTTAAAACTAACTACTTATTTAAAACTACTGTTATTATTTTTTAAATGTTTTTTTTTTTCGAAAAAAAAACAACGGTAAAATACACAAAACCTTCGTAATTATAACATTTAAAATAAATCGTCGGATGTGACATGAAGACGACCAAATCAACACCGTCATTTAAGGAGACAAACAAGGGCATCAATATAATATCATCAGTGCACGTTGTACTTTTATTATTAGCCAAAATATTTTAAAGAAAAAAATCGGCAAACTTACGTCAAACTTCCTTTTTCTCTCAGCTGCTGCTATGTCTTCAGCAGAATCACTTGCCGGCAGCGAAAACTCTGAGCTTATGACAATACTAACTCTACCTACAAAAGATAATGGTTTCATACGCTGCTAAATCCAAAAATTAATGTTGAAAATTTATTAATTGCAACAAATGTCGATATAATTTGTTCTACCTTTTTCTAAATATACAAGTAACATAATACAATGAGCATATAACAATAATTCGAAAAAAGTTACAAAAGTATGAGGGTAGTTCATAAATAATGCTACATAGAGCAAGGCAAAAATTATGCTGCTTAGTCGAATTTGTCCTAGTAGGAAAGTTAATAACAACCAAGATACAGAGTGTCAAATTTATAATTTTCGATTTATTTTTTCTATACAGCTGAAGAAATTCAAATAAGTATTTGTACAGGGTTAGTCACTGTAATCTGTCAGCTTATTGTGAGTTTATAATTGAAATTACAAAAAAGTATTTATTACAAAAGTTTTAGCTTTTTTATAAATTTTTATAATACAGTATTGGAAAAAACAATTGAATAATGGAAGTTACTATATTAAAGATTTTTTTTTAATGTAACACCTACATATTAGTGCATAATTAGCTTCGTTAAATTTTTCTCTTTTCAAAAATATATATTGTTACTGTTTGATTCAGGACTTTTCGACATATTTCAGTTTAAAACTATTTTTGAAAAAACAGGAGGGACATTTATCTCTGACGGATCGTAGTGGCTATGGACGAGGCACGCGGAACAAACAAATGGCTTTGACAGAAGTTTATTTATCATCATTAATATATTTCCTATAACAAACTATTTTAACAAAGAAATAATGTTTAGTGAGAACGAAAAATTTGAAGTAATCCGTTTATTTTACAAGAATAACAATAATGTAAATGCAGCGCGCGCCGAATATGCTCGTTTGCATCCCGGGTTTTCAATTCCATTTCGAGCTACATTTTACGACGTTGAGCGAAGCTTTAGAGAAACAAAATCTCTTGGAAGTAATTATTAACTACATTTAGCACTACCAAGGAATAACGACGTGGACGTAGTAGTTTTTTATTCCTTTTGGGATGCTTGTTTTTGGTGGAATTAAGAATTTCTTCAGGTTTCTGAAAATGTTTATGAGTAGCATTATGTAAAAATTAGAATATAGAATATAGAAATTTTATGGCCAAAATATGGGTTAGATCGAAAAAATAATATGAACGAAATGTTCTTTTTTTCGTTTTTCAATCGAAATCCGTGGTAAAAAAATAGGTGTTTCAATTTTAAAAAATCAACTTCCGGTCTAAAAGCACCACTTCCGGTCTGATCCGGAAGTCGTAATATGGACCATTCAATTGCCCCCTGGGTGCCCGACAATTTTTGTCTAAAACGTTTTTCGAAATACCTAATCGAGTACAACCAAGATATTATTTTGTCTCAACATAAATGCCCCACCCGGTATAGTGTCCCAAAAGTAATGCAGGATTTGAATTTTGCTCCATTTTCATTCCCAAGAGTTGGCAGTGTTGTGTAGGATCACATGTTCTAGTAAACGCATTGCGGTTAGACAAAATGCAGCGCTATACGACGGATGAGCGAATGAAGATTGTGAAAATTCATTATAAGTACGGAGAGTGTGTTGCTGAAACTGTGCGCAAATTATGTGGTAAAAGAACCACCCCTAATGAAACAACAGTGGAAAGATTAGTTGCCAAATTTTAACAGGTTCGGTAGCAGACAATAAAAAAACAGACCGGTCTCACACTGGTCGTTAAGCCGAAAATATTGCTACGGTGAGAGATAGTTTGAGGAAATCCCTGTAACCTCAGTGCGCCTTCGGTCATTGCAATTATTAAACATTTCAAAAGGCACAATGCAGTGGATTTTAATGAAAGATCTGCATCTGCATTCATTCAAGGTTCAGCTAACCCAGGAATTAAAACCAGACGATCATTTAATGCGCCCGACATTCGTTGATGGGATGCTGGAGAATCAACAAGTGGGCGGTGATTTTGCTAAGAAAATCATCTTTAGCGACGAGCAAAACTGTCAAATTTGGGGCAGAGACAATCTCCTCGGGTCGTTCAAGAACGACAGTGACTGTCAATGGAGAACGATATCTGGAGATGCTATTGAACGTTTTGTGGCTTCATTTGGATGGCATGGATTTGGATGACATGAGGATGGTGCCACCTGCCATAGGGCACATAAAACTATGGAGTTGTTACGCCAGAAATTTAATGGATGTCCCATCTCAGATAACACTGAAGTTACTTGGACACTAAGACCATGCGGTCTTATACGTTTATTCTGCCGAAATGAAAATCATTCCTGAATTAAAGACAAATTCGGAGAGTTAAACGTGATTTAGAATTTTCTTAAAAGAAGTCGAGTATGCCAAATCAGTCGCGGGGGACATCTGTCTGATATCTTATTTCATATTTAATTTAATAAAATTTTTTTCATCATATGCGTTTCTTTTGGAACACCATCATTTAACTCACCTTTCTGAATTGCCTTATATTTGAACTGATACAGTCGATATACACTTGCATGGGCCCTTAAGACATTATGAGCGCATTGGTATTCCGTTGTACCAGTCGGTACACCCTCCTGTCCAGCTGACAATACTTCTACATTAACAAAAAGGACACAAAATGAGAACGGTTCATTAATAGTTAGCCATGTTTTTACTCTGTCACCAAAAAGTTGAAACAGTAAATTTGCATAGTCCGTGAAGTATTGCACAATTTTGTCATTGTTCCAGTCTCCTAAATAATGTAATGGTAATGGTATCTCCCAGTGATAGATCGTTACCTACAAACGAAAATGAGATATAAGTGTACTATTTATAGGAGATGCCTCTTTTGTGATGAGTTGTTTTAGGAAATGACTGGGTGTGACACGAAATTATTGTAGTTCGTCATCAAATTTTCCTACAATGTGAAGCAAACTCTTTGAACGATTTTTTCCCCCAACATTTCGCAGAGGTTTTACTCTCTGGATAAATTTAGAAAAAATGGGGTGTAAATCCAAGGTCTGAACATGAAGAGGTAAAACAAAATGTTGGGAGTGTGTACTGCATTGACGTCACAAGTTTTGTGAAGAAATAAATGCCGAACTTTTAACAGCTCATTTAAGTCATCAAAGGCAGAAACTTTTGTCAAACATTTCTTTCGAAAACGTTTTAAATAATACAACTTTTTTGTAAATTGTCTCTTAAACGAAGAGCAACACCCTTATTAGTTGAGTTAATAATAAATAAATGGAAACACAAAAAATATTTAGGCAAGCATAAATACAGAGCCTTCCTAAATGTTTGCAAGCCACGTGACCGCTGAGCTTAGGCGACCAACGTTGCAGGGCTGGTACTGATAACGAAAATTCCCGAAATATTGGCGCCACCAATATTAATGAATCGTTTACAATGAGCAATGGTAAATCGTTACGTCTACGCTCGAGATAATGCGACCACTGATTGGTTGACTAGAGTCTCGTGAAAAATTACATCAATCACAGTCAGTGAAACAAAATGTTTTGTTTTACTATAATCCTGATCTTATTGTTTTAATTTAATTGCCAGCATGAAGGAAACAAAATTACTTGTCACGTGGATTGTAATCATTTATGAAGGCTCTGAAGGCTTTGATCCATAAGCTACTCGTTAACGTCATTTTAATATTACAAAATGCTGAAGTTTTATTATAGAAAAAAGTTGTTACTTTTAATGAGTTAAATACGCTTTCAAATTTTATTTCTTCGCCGCTTTCTACAGGGTGTGGCGTGTATAATCTATAAAAATTAAACTACAGCTTCGTGATGATATTTTGTAATAGAAAAGTCTTATACGAAAAAGTTCTATCTTCGTGTTTTTTTTTTTTTAATTGAAGATCATTTATTCAACGAAAATGAAGGCCGACTCTGTGTTATTTATTAAAAACTTTGGAAATGTTTTTATGCGACCCGAGGTGCAACCTTATAATGTAAGTCGGTATAATCTAATAGTAGAAATACTAAAAGAAGGTTAGGTTGCATAGTCAAAAAATTTGAGCAGTCAACTGATTTTGTATTTGTATTGAATTTATTATTCACTTAATTCTTAAATATTAAGCATCGTCCATTAACCCATCAGTGTTAAAAACTGAAAGATTCCAGACAAAAACTTTTATTTTGTAATTCCACGATAGTGACGGTGTAATTTTTATAAAGCAGTAAAAAATAAGAATAGCGTGCTGATTACATTAAAAACGAATTTCTTATTTCTTACTTTGCTTAATTTTTTTAGTTTGTGCACAAACTAGTTTTACAGTGAACCGAGCAAAGAATGCATTTACTATTTCCGAACGTGTCGATATGGTGTTAGTGTATGGTGCAGCCGGAGAAAATGCGCTCGAGGCGACTAGGTTGTAGCGAGAACGATGGCCACAACGTCACCCCCCATGTGCAAATACAATCCTACAGTGCGTTCAGCGGCTGCGAGATACGGGAAGTGTTATTTCTCGAAGAGAAGGACGTGCTCAGCAAGTGAACCTTAATGTTGAAGATGCAATGTTGGAAAATCTTGACGAAAACCCCACAATTAGTACTCGACGATTCGTACAGCAAGTATGAATCTTATCTCGTACCGTACATCGCATCTTAAGGCGCCAGCTGTTGCACCCCTATCATTTGCAACCAGTTAGTTCAACAGATTTTACCCTGGATTGTGATCAATGAATGCGATTTTGTAGATGGTTTTTACGATGAAGTAGACTTTCTTGCTTATGTTTGTGTAACAGATGAGGCGTCATTTACCCGTGATGAAGTGAATTTCCATAATATGCACATATGGTCCACTGAGAATCTTCATGCGATTAGGGAAACTCATTTTCAACATCGGTTCTCGGTAAATGTTTGGGCTGGCATAATAGGCGATGTACTTGTGGCTCTCTATTTCTTTGAAGGACGACTAAATGGACCAACATAATATGCTGACTTTTTGGAGGACCGGTTGCCTGAATTATTGGACGATGTGGCACACTGTACTCGAGAAGTAACGACACTTTTGAATGAAATGTTTCCTCAGCGATGAATTGGACGCTTTAGTCCTGTGCCGTGGCCACCTCGGTCACCCGATTTAAATCCAATGGGCTTTTATCTTTGGAGTCACTTGAAGTCATTGGTTTACAATACTCCAATTGCTACGGTTGAAGAATTGCGAAACCGTATACTTGAAGCTGCTGACACAATTAGGGGAATACCTGGAATTTGGGAAAATATTCGCCAAAATTGGGTGCGTCGGTGCCATGCCTGTATCCGCGCTATTGGGGATCAATTACAACATTTTCTCTAAAAATGGTAAGTTTTATTTCATTTTGTTCCATATTTTAATGGAGTTTGTTTAGTGCACGCAGTTGGGAACTGCAGATGCTTACGGATGTGGTTTTGTTTGCGAACTGTTGCAGTAACAACAATGCATTTAAGATATTAATTACTATGAATTATTATAATAAGAAAATATCAGTTTTTTTAAATATCTATTTTTCTTAGTTTGTACGTTTGCATTAAAAAATTTCCCAAAAATTGAGAAGTATCTTTCTATTGTTCAACGACGATTTGTGTACGCGGCTGGTCTACAGCTTGTAACTCATCGTACAGCACACGGACAGGACCGTGCCAGAGAAAATATTTTGATCCGTAATTAAACATTTACGAAAAAAAAAAAAACAAAAATAGAACTTTTTCGTATAAAACTTTTCTATTGCAAATATCGTTAGGAAGCTGTAGTTTAATTTTTATAGATTTTACACGCCACACCCTGTATATAGGTAAAGCCATTTATAACGATAAAAATTAATGGCCGTCGAAAATATTTTTTACACTAACACTAATTGGCAAATGTATCTCTTTGGTAAAAAGTAATATAACCTATAGGCAAAAATAAATTAGACAATTTATTTAATAATTAATTCCAAACTAATAATGTTACAGTATTAATATTGGAGACGGAACAATTGCAAGATTTCATTAATAAAAAATTAACTTGATATAAGAACCAAAAAATAATTTCTGTATGTGTTATCAGCAATTGCATATAAAATTTCTAATTCTAATTCATTTATTTAGGTAAAAATATAACTTATAAGCTACTGAACTTCTTGTTATTTGTTAACTGCAGTTCCTGATTTTATTTAATTTTATTAATTTCGTGAAAAATTCTCTGTTTAAACCTCGTTACCTTCAGAGAATTTTACTTGGTTAAAAGATTTTGAATCTGTTGAGTTTTGATTACTTATAATATTATACATTTCTAGATTTTTTGGGTCTTATGCTCCCTTTGTGGCCAGCAAATTCAATAAATCAGTGGTAATTAAAAAAAATCGATGACATTGTCAGTCATAAACAAAATCGACGTGCTTAGCGTTTCTTAAAAAGAAAACTGTATTATTGAATTAATTTCATAATTTAGCCGCTCACTACATATAATAATCATTATAATAATTTATAGACTACATTACTTTCTCAATTATTGTTTGATGTTTTTTGTTTATTTGAGACATTTTTTTATTTTTATTCCAAAAATAATTTTATGCAGATTGTTTTGTAGTATTTTTCTTTATCTTCTCAAAGTAAAAACCAAATTGTCTGGATCAATTAACTTGTTAATATTGTATTATGCACTATTTTTTCTGTTGACTTAGACTTCAACTAAAAGTGACAAATTTTTATTTACCCATGGTTCTATTCCTTCAGCTAGCAGTCCATCTATAAGATTGTTATAATATTCAACGCCAGCTGGATTAATTTCGTTTATAAATCCAGTGGGAAGAATCCTGGGCCAATTTATTGAAAATCTATAAAAGCTCACTCCAAGTTCTTTTAGAGCGGCAATGTCATCTTTATATCTATGGTAAGAGTCAGCTGCTACATCGCCAGTACTTCCATCATTTACGACTGGTGTGTTATGTACCAAATAGTCCCATCTACTTGGACCTTTACCAGATTCATTCCATGCTCCTTCGATCTGGTAAGCTGATGAGGCTGCTCCAAATAAGAACGAGTTTGGAAATGGCAGATTACTAATCTCCTGACATAGGACCCTGAGAAAAATTGATCAAATACGAATATAATTAATTCTAGACAAGAAGAAAATTATTATCACAATTTCGTTGGAAGCTAACTCTTGTCAGAGGAGATACCCAATCTGAACATTGTGAAATCTGAATCAAGACTAATTCAATCTCATCTAACAATAAGACAAAGACGATTATTGTAGTCTTAAAAAAAAAACAGAAAAGAACAGATTGACGTGTAGAAAAGCGGCTCGGCGTGCCTAAAAGTCGTAAGTTATGCAAGGTAAAATTTGGAAGGTAGGTAATAAAAACCTGAACTTCTGAAAAAAATGTATTTTATAAATGCTGATGCAAATATTCCCACATTAATTAATTACTTAAGTAGTTGTCAATAACATTTAATAGAATATTTACACAAAATAAAAAAAAACAATAATTATAATGTAAAAAATTATATAAATTGTTACTAAATTAATTTTATTGCATTTTATTAACTATAATTATTATGAACAGAGACATAAATGATAATGTCTCTTAACTATTTTTTTAACATCTAGTATTACTTAGATCTTTAGGGTTATACGCCTTCATTATAGCCATCCTTGTCTATCACATGGATTTCTATGGCTTACTTTAACGCTCTCACGTAACTTCTGATAGACCATCGGTACTTTCCTACACTGTAGNGTCCATCTATAAGATTGTTATAATATTCAACGCCAGCTGGATTAATTTTGTTTATAAATCCAGTGGGAAGAATCCTGGGCCAATTTATTGAAAATCTATAAAAGCTCACTCCAAGTTCTTTTAGAGCGGCAATGTCATCTTTATATCTATGGTAAGAGTCAGCTGCTACATCGCCAGTACTTCCATCATTTACGACTGGTCTGTTATGTACCAAATAGTCCCATCTACTTGGACCTTTACCAGATTCATTCCATGCTCCTTCGATCTGGTAAGCTGATGAGGCTGCTCCAAATAAGAACGAGTTTGGAAATGGCAGGTTACTAATCTCCTGACATAGGACCCTGAGATAAAATTGATCAAATACGAATATAATTAATTCTACACAAGAAGAAAATTACTATCACAATTTCGTTGGAAGCTAACTGTTGTTAGAGAAGATATCCGATCTGAACATTGTGAAATCTGAATCAAGACTAATTCAATCTCATCTAATAATAAGACAAAGACGATTATTGTAGTCTTAAAAAAAAAACAGAAAAGAACAGATTGACGTGTAGAAAAGCGGCTCGGCGTGCCTAAAAGTCGTAAGTTATGCAAGGTAAAATTTGAAAGGTAGGTAATAAAAACCTGAACTTCTGAAAAAAATGTATTTTATAAATGCTGATGCAAATATTCCCACATTAATTAATTACTTAAGTACTTGTCAATAACAGTTAATAGTATATTTACACAAAATAAAAAAAAAATAATTATTATTATAATGTAAAAAATTATATAAATTGTTACTAAATTAATTTTATTGCATTTTATTAACTATAATTATTATGAACAGAGACATAAATGATAATGTCTCTTAACTATTTTTTTAACATCTAGTATTACTTAGATCTTTAGGGTTATACGCCTTCATTATAGCCATCCTTGTCTATCACATGGATTTCTATGGCTTACTTTAACGCTCTCACGTAACTTCTGATAGACCATCGGTACTTTCCTACACTGTATACTTATATTCCTACAGATAGCGGCCTAGCGTTTGAAATAAGCTTTAATTTGAACTGCAAATAGATATTCGTAGATTATACTGGAGCCAAAGAAATGACGATTCAAAGTCACCTATCCCAATGAGTTTTTTTCTGTTAAAAAAATTATTTAAAAACGGAATAAGTACTGCAAGGGTAAGTATATTAAAAGTATATTTTTAATATTTTAAAGATGGTGTTTGAAATAACTAATAAGCTTTAATTTGAGCTGCAAATATATGGGAGAGTTTGCCTTGTAAGCTCGATCCAGATGACAACATGTAAATAGCTTCTGTCATGCCTGCCGCGTTTGCGCGTTGCACGCTGCGTAAGTGAGACAATCAATTTAAAAATTAAAATTTGAATGAAATTTTTATTACATAAAAATCGTAAAGCCAAACTTATTTTTGTAAAGGTAATGAAATCACCTTGTAAAGAAACTTGCAGGTATAAATGCAACAAAATAATAAATGAAGAAGCTAGAAAAGCCATTTTTGACGAATTTTGGAACCTTGGAGATCATACTCGGCAGTGGGATTTTCTTGTAAGGTGCGTGACACAACGAGAAAAGAAAGCAGGTTACTGTACATAATAAATATTCCAGAAGGAATTTCTCTCGCAATTATAAGTTTGTCATTGACAATAATGAGAAACAAATTTGCAAAACGATGTTCTTAAATACGCTTGCAATTTCTGAAACAGTTGTAAGCACCGCTTTGCAAAAAATTGGTGAAGGTGGTACTGTAGAACGGGACATAAGAGGAAAACACAACACTAGACCGCATAAGAACCCGGATGCTCTAATAAAAAACATTATGGAGCACATACAACTTTTTCCACTTATGCCTTCTCATTATAAACGAAAAAACTCAAAACGAATGTACTTGGAAGAAGGTTTGAGTATTTCACGAATGCACATAATGTATTTAGAATATGCAAAACAACAAAAATGGGATGCAGTAGCTACACTCAAACAATACAGGGATACTCTTAATTCGAAATTTAATATAGCTTTCTTTAAGCCAAAATAAGATCAGTGTTCCGTGTGTAGTGCCTATAAGAATACAGATCCCGAGAAGAGAACAGAAAAAATGGAAGATGATTGTAATAATCATAATTTAAACAAAATCGCGGTTCGAAATCTGAAAGACATTGATAAAGAATTGTCGAAAAATGATAAATCTCTAATAACAGCATGCTTTGATTTGCAGAAGGTGTTAGTAACGCCCAAGTCAGAAGTCAGCGATTTTTATTATAAAAGTAAAATCGCAACATACAACTTTACAATTTATGATTTAGGCAGCAATCAAGGCTATTGCTATGTATGGCATGAGCAAATATCGAAGAGAGGACCGGATGAAATTGGAAGTTGTTTATGGATCTTTTTAAAAAGTGTTAAAGAAAATGGCATACGAAAGGTTATTCTTTATTCCGACAATTGCGGTGGTCAAAACCGTAATCGTTTTGTTTTTGCGATGTTTGCTTATGCATCAATGACTTTGGATTTGGAAATAACACACCGTTTTCTTGAAATTGGCCACACGCAGAATGAAAATGACAGCATGCATGCTGTGATTGAAGTTGCAAAAAAACGTCACTCTGCTATATACACTCCTGATCAGTGGATTAGTCTAATAAAAATGGCCAAAGTTACTGCCCCACAGTACAAAGTAAAAGAAATGTCTCAAGAAGATTTTGTAACTTTTAAACCAATGGTAAAGAAACAAAACTGGAAAAAAGATATTACTGGAGAGGCTGTAAAAATCAGCAAAATCAGAGAAATCCACTGCGATCCAAAGTCTCCCAATAAAGTATTTTTTGTGTATAATTTTGGAGAAAATCATAAAGAACTAGACTTACAAACAAAAAACACACGCAAACGCGAAGAATATCAATTTCCAAGATTGTATCAAGGTTTGCTGCCAATTGATGGTAAAAAATTAAGCGGTCTTTTGGGTCTGTGTAAGGCTAATTTGATACCACCGATGTATCATGGATTTTACAACTCCCTTCGGCCTGCTAGTAAGACTGACCACCAGGAAGAAAGTAATATTGACCAAGAAGATGACTCTGACTCTGAATCGTAATAAATTTTCCTTTTATGTCATTATTGATTATTAACAATTATTTTTTTATCTAAAAATAGAAAATGTTTAATTTTTCTGTACCTTATTGGTGTAGCAAATTGTTTCTCAATAAAATTTTTGTCCACGAAAACTGTAGTAACTCATTCAAAATCCATTTTTTTCTTAACCTAAACTATTTTATTTAGATCATCAATAATTAATTAATACCTAAACAATAGTAACTTTGTTAAAGAAGATCGATTTAGCTCTTGTAATAAAAAAAATAACGAACATTATTATTTTCTCAACTATTCAAATGCAATTATCTCAGTATAACCAAATTTGAGATACGACAGTTTTCCTTGGGATAGTCGATATGCACCGTAATAACAGACAAAACCAAATAGGCCCTGATTTCGATTTTTCCCGACGGCCCCCGAATGAGCCAGACCGGGCCTGTTAAGAAGTTTCATACCCGTAAGTGACAAACTAAAAGAATTATAGAATTTATATTTTTAAATTTATAGAACAATATTGGCTTTTACAATAATTAATAAATTAAAGTTATATCAGTTTTACTAAGCAAGCGCATTAAAAATAATTTCATGTAAGCGAAGTAGCCTCGCAATAGGGTACCATTCGAGAAAAGTTTGGTTCTGGTTAAGAGTACGTCTAAAATAAACCACTTGAAGAAAAGAAAACACTCGATAAACAGACTGTCACAGTAGAGCACCAAGAAAAACAATAAAAAATAATGTCAAGATTAAACAAAACAAGATAAAATAGGCTAATGATGACAGCGATAACATTATTAACAAGATCTCACCTGCATATGAGGCTATCCCTTCCGAGCATTAGGAATAACACGGCTAATGTTAAATTTTTACTTTATTTAAATAAAGTGGAAAATTAAGCTATAAACTAGAAAATTAATAATGCGCGGTTGCCTTACAATTCGCCTAACTCGAGAGCAGTCTCATTATAATACGCCTGAATGTGTTCAGTTTATTCTTGTAAAAATAGTGGCTTTTGCGTTCATTTTTCAATAAACTATCAATCACTATTCGGCGTTTAAAAGAAGTCATAAATATGATATATACCGAGTGTCCCAGAAATAAATTATAAAATTTTAATAATAAATTTTCTTCTAAAATTCATATTTTTTTGCCTGGTATTTTGTACCATTAAAATAACAATAACAAGCTGTATACGGAATAAAAAATGACTAAGAAAAGTGTACGAATGTTATAGAATATAGAATAATTCACTATTTTAAATATCTTTAGTAGTCTAAATACTAGCGCTAAATTTAGTTATATAAACGTTCTTATGTCTTTCATAAAATAATTTTTTCTACTTGTATCGACCGTAACTAAATGAGCTCTTAAGTTTCTAGGCACGTAATGGACGACGTCACAGGTACACAATGAGAGCACGCTACTCTATGTGCAAATCAATCTTAACACTATACATGTGAAGCTGCCGACAAATCTGAAAGTTTTCTTATTGCTTTGATAGCTGCAGTTATGCGTTAAAATGATTTTTTTGTGAATTTAAACAATCTTGTTGTCCAAACCTAAACACAACTATTAGGCAAGTTTATAGCCTATTGAAATGTATCAAGGGTCGATTTATCAAAGAACATTGATTTAACTAAATCCTTTAGCAATAGCCAACCAATTGTCTCATATCTTAGCAACCAATCTAGATTTAATCAAATCGTAATTAAGATTCATTTGATAAACTGGTCGACTTAATTAAATCGTAGCGAAACTGCATTTGATAAGCCGGCGGTATATCTAAGTGATCTGGAGTCAGCTACTTAAATAGATTAATAATTCAATAAATAACATTTATCCAGTTTAATGATATGGCTAGTAAACAAAATAACGATTTTTATATATACAGTAACCTACTTATAACAAAATAATTAATATTAATATAAAACGTACACCTACCAGTTAAAAAACAGGGTTAGGCACCGGATTATCATCAATTTGGATTGCATACTTAATACTGAAATAAAAAAAATATTTTTTTTTTATATACTTAGATAACGCACAAGTAACTGCGCTGTAAAGTTTATTGTTATAACTTTACAGGCAATTTATATTTTTTTATATTCTTTATAATTTTTTTTCATGCGTTTATACGTATTGTATCTGTATGTTTGAGAATAATAAAATTCCTTATCGTTTTATTTGTCTTTGTATCAGTAAATGAAGGTAAACAAATCCAACATATATTCCAAAACAAAAAACCTTTGATGATTCGTTCAATGAGTAAACATCACTGTAATCAAAAGTATGGTAAAATCCTTGAACTTTCCATGGTAACCTGTTGCCATGGAATGTTCAAGTAAAATTAATATATAATCAGTATATATTTTAAAGGTCTTATTTAATATTACATAAATGTTACCGTGCTTCAAGGAATTTTATCATACTTTTTATTACAGTGAAGGTCACCAACAATGTCGCTCTGTGGCGTCCTTCACTTACTCCAAGGTAGGCCAAGGTACTTGGGCTCTAACATTTTGAACCGTTTCATTCGAACGTCGTCGAATACATTTGAAGTAGTTGGTTTGCTTCCTTTCGCTTACAAAACGAGATTCAACACATTCAACGAACACATTCAAATTATTTCCAGTGTAATTGTAAACATTTCGGATTCGCTTAGAGAACTGTACATAATAAATATTTTGACTGTTTTTTGTTTTTCTTGTTGTTAAAGGAAAATCTAATACAACTATTTTGTATTTTTTGGAGGGCGCTCTTATCTTTCGCAGTTAAATTAGGCCAGTATACAACATCACAGTAAGCCAGAAATGACATAATCAATGAGTCACACAATAATAATTTTATGTCATTACTCAAAAACTCCTTCTGTACAATAATTTTAGTTTATTATATGATTTTTTAACCAGATTAACGACATGATTGTTGAATCTCGGATCATCATCTATTATAACTTCCAGATTTTTAAAAAGCTAACAGGCTTCAAAATTTCATCGTTAATTTTTATTACGAAATTAGGATTATTTATGAGATTAAATCTTCCCTTACCGTAAAGTAGAAGTTCAGATTTTTTTTCATTCAAAACTAGCTTTTGAACACGAACAATGGCAGTTAAGTATCTATTAATACAATTCATGGCAGGCAACATATCGTTCTGGTTAAAAGAAAAATACATCTGAGTATCATCAGCATACTGGTGAATTTTGCAATAGGTAAGATGTGAGAAAAAATCAGCAGTATAAACAGAAATAACGTCAGCCCCAATATACTCCCTTGAGGTATTCTCTGTTTAACAAATCTGTAAAGGGAGAAATCATTTCCTGAGTAAAGCTTTTGTCAACGATTAAACATATAACTAGTAAAGAAGGAAATTACATTATTACCCCTTTTTTATCAAGATAACATGGTCCAAAGTATCAAACGCTTTACTAAAGTCTAATAAAACTAAGCAGGTATTAAAGTTATTGTCATTTGCTTTAAATATATCATCTGTAACATGAAGCAGCGCTGTAGTTGTACTGTGTGATTCTCTGAATCTAGATTGAATTGGGGGTAGAATGTTATTTTCCTTTAAAAAAATATTAAGCTGGTTATTTAAAATTCTTTCAAGCACTTTAGGTAAGGTTGGTAAAATGCTAATGGGACGATAATCTGAGAGAGCTACCGGATTACTTTTTTTTCGGGCACGGTATAATATGAGAATTTTTCCAAACTATAGGAAAAGCACCTGTCCTAAGATATTCCATTTTTTGATATTCAATCTAAGACGGTTGGGCTTATTTAACTATGAAAACCTGGTAAGTTTGTGTCACACTCGACTTGTTTATTTTTTTTCTAAAACTTTTAAACTTTTGGGAATATCTCAAGACTTTGGATAATTCTCATACAAAATCGTTTCTAAGTTAACTATTTTTCTATTTTTAATATAAAGGAATATCTGAAACGGTCTTTTGTTTTTTAATAATATCTTTTTCAATTTATTTTAAGACAGTTATACTTGCTGTGACTAAAATGATTCGTTTTATAAAAAAATGGATTTTAATTCCTGGACCTATTAGTTATGGAGATCCAAGTATTTAAGGTAATTACACTTCACAGTTTTACTAAACCCATATCTTTACTCAATTTTTAGATCAATAATTATCTTTATCTAAAAACCTACAGAGACAAATCAATTGTTGTTACAAAAGTTCATTCAAGTGTTGTATCTGGATAGATGCTGACATTTGAAGAGTGATAAGTTGATCTAAATTGCATAACAGTTTGTTATTTTTGCAATTGTAAGTATTTTCCGCAAGTCACATGAATTGTGCCGTCAGCTTCGTTCGACAATAATACAGGGTGTCCCAGTGTCAGCGTACAAAAATTTACCAGGGGGTAGATCAGACCGAAATAAGATTAAAATTCTTATAAAATATTTTTCTGCAATGCACTCTCACTGAGTTACAGGGTGTTGTTTAGAAAAAAATTATAACAACTTTCCGCAATAACTCAAAAACCTTTTCAATTATTTAAGTAATTTTTGCGTGAAGTGTACATCTATTAAAGGTCATTAAAACTACATGGTGGTTATTTCCATCTGACGCCAGGGGTGGCCTAGGCCAACTTGTCCTCAAGGTTATGTCTTCATAACTTTTGCATATCCTAGTTTTATGTAATTTGATTACGTTTTCCTGAACTTGCAATCGATTCTGAACAAAAAATGTGCTCTTGTTTCATAGCTCAAAAATGAAACATTTTCGAGTAAATTGGGTCTAAAACATCGCCTGCATTAATTCATAGAAAAATGCATGTATAGATTTTATTTGTTGTTATCTAGTAGGATGATAAAAAACAAAGTTGTTTACAGGCGTACATGTCAAAATTAATTACAGTACTCGAAGTTACGAGAAATTAAGTTTACAAAACAACAAGATATTAAGTATTATGGAATTTTCTAACAACAAATATACCGATATGATATTTGCCTACGGTTTCTGTGATGGAAATTCATTGATAACCTCACGAGAATATCTACACTTGTTTCCAAACAGAAGGCAACCTTCACAGCACGTATTCCAATGAGTTTTCCAAAGAGTCCGTGAGACTGGGAGTGTTAAAATTGAAAATACCAGAATAAGTGGTAATTTGGAAGAAAATGTAATAGCTGCTGTTGTTGATGATCCTTCCACCAGTGTCCGAAGAATATCAGCGTAAGTAGGTACTCCACTAAGCAGCGACTGGAGAATTTTAAACCGAGAAGAAATGCACCCATACCATCTACATAAAGTACAAACTTTGCATCCTTATGATTCCGAAAAAAGGGTACAATTTTGCAGATGGTTGTTAGAAAATATCTATAATGACGAAAATTTCCATCAAAAGATATTGTGGAGTGATGAAACTATCTTTATGAGAAATGCTATAAATAATTTAAAAAATTTTCATGTCTATCCATTGAAAATCCGCATGTGATATAACCCTCCGCGTTTCAAAAAAGATTCTTCATAAATGTCTGGGGAGGAATCTTCAACGGAGTCATTCTGATTCTTCAAATTATTGTAGACCGTTTGAGTTCAGAGAGATACACGGATTTTTTAGAGAATTTGATGGCGTACTAGATGATGTTCCCTTAGCTTTGCGAAATCAAATGTACTACCAACAAGATGGAGCATCTACTCGTAACGGAAGACAGGTATCTGCGTGGCTCGATTTACATTTTCCAAAACGCTGGATTGGAAAAAATGGACCTATTATGTGGCCTCCCAGGTTCCCTGACCTCAACCCGCTTGATTTTTTTTTACTGTGGTCATATGAAGCAACTGGTGTATGCCAAACCCAATAACACGAGAGACGATTTACTTCAAAAAATTAATGTAGCCGCCGAGAAAATTCAAGTAACCGTTGATTTGCGAAGGGTTTACAATTCCTTGGTCAAATGATGTCGGGCATACATTGAAGTAAATGGACAGCATTTCGAGCATTTATTGAAATAATTGTTTTCTATTTTTATATTTAATATTGTCATTTTGCTAACATAATTTCGTTTCTATTACATAATTTTCAATTTTATTTTTAGTTTCCCTATAGGTAACCAAATATTAAATAATTCGTAGAAAACTTGTTTAGCTTCTTCATATTCATTGAGCCGCAGCTACATGGGAAACTGTACCTCAACGGTAAACAACTTTGTTTTTTATAATGACAGGTACCTACTAGATAACAAGAAATAAAATCTTTACATGCATGTTTCTACGAACTAATGCAGTCGATACTTTAGATCCAATTTATTCGAAAATGGTTCATTTTTGAGCTATGAAACAAGGACACATTTTTTGTTCAGAATCGATTGCAGGTTCAGGAAAACGTAATCAAATTACATTAAACTAGGATATGCAAAGGTTATGAAGACATAACTTTGAGGACATGTTGGCCTAGGTCGCCCCTGGCGTCAGATCGAAATAACCATCATTTAGTTTTAATGACCTTAAATAGATGTACACTTCACCCAAAAATTACTTAAATCCTTGAAAGGGTTTTTGAGTTATTGCGGAAAGTTGTTATTATTTTTTTCTAAACAACACCCTGTAACTCAGTAAGAGTGCATCGCAGAAAAATATTTTATAAGAGTTTTAATCTTATTTTGGTCTGGTCTACCCCCTGGTGAATTTTTGTACGCTGACACTGGTACACCCTGTATATGTAAAGTATCAAAATCGTATTTTGTTACTAATTGTTACTATCATTTTTTTACAATCGCCTTTTAATATTTATTTCAGAAAAAAATATGAAATATTTTTTTGTATGGAGTGAAAAACTCAATTTTAAAGGTATTAAGCCAATTCAAACAAATTAAAAGAAATCTAAAAAATGCTACCAAATGGAGTCAAACAATGTTATCTGATACCAGAAATCTAAAAACTTTATTTGACTTCATTTGATTAGATTTTTGAAATTTTATTATATTTGTTTTAATTAGCTTATTTCATATAAAACTGAGTAAAAAAATACGATCTAATAATCTAATAAGTCTAATAATAGAATATATGTTTTTTTTTAAAAGTTTTTTTTTCTTGTTGTCAAAGTGTCGCAATGTAAAATAATACCTACCTATTTAATAAGTAATTATACTTCAATGCCAAGTCATGCCAAATTCATATAACAATATGCGATAAGATATCAAATTTTTATTCCACGCCGTGGATTGAACTGCTGTTTCAGTCTTCAAGTTCAAAGTAATCCAAAAATGTTTTAAATATATTTGTTAAATACCATCTTACATTTAATATTTCTCGGTTATGAAGTATATAAAAATTTTAATTAATGATCAATTCTACTTCAGGTCACTGAGTGCAAAAACAGTGTTAATACTCGGAACTAAAGCTTTTAATTGACAGATACACTTCAGTTCCATGTTATACCAGCCGTGCAACAATCACAGATTCGTAAGATAAAAACAAGTGAATTTAAATTATTTTAGTCCAAAAATGCTTCCCTTATAGCTACAGGACATATTACATCAGATTTAAATGTGGTTTACGTTATAAGAGCGCAAAAAACAATAAAAATTATCTTAAAATTACATTTCTTACATTAGCGGCGTATAGGAAGATATGTGTCCCCCTTGTTTAACCCTGTCTACAGATCGTTAAGTTAAATGGATGTGTTTTTGAATCATGTTGATTCCGCATAAAAAATATATTTTCTTTTAAATTTATTTTTATTTCATTTTCTTTTAAATTTATTTGAATTAGCTACAAGAAGTCAATGTTTATTAGAAATATGATTTTATTTAATATTAATAACCTGGTAAAAAAAAATTACTGGGATTTTTTAAAGAAGTATAAATGTACTGAGGTAACTTGTCCTATGGAAGCTACTTTTGAAATTTGGCTCAGCCATTTCTGGACATTCTAGATACTAGGTACACTGAAATCTGGATGGAACTAATTTTAATTAGAAACCTAAAGCAATCATTACGAAAATGTTTAATTTGTTTAACGGTTTGTTTGTAATAAATCTATTTAAGTTCTTAACCTATTCCTGATAAGAACACATTAGCAATTATACAGCTTAAACGCAATAATACATTTTTATATTACTGTCCTGAGATCTATTTGAGTTTATCAAATCCATAAAAATAAATGTCCTAAAATGTTATAGATATGAACATTATAGTATATTACACAAATTATCTAATTGTAAGGAAAGGAAGAATATGCAAAACCAGGTAAATTCATTCATTCATCAAAAATATTTTTTTCAATTTAATTGAAATATAGTTTAGAATAAAATGTTTTTTCATTTACTGGAAATGGAAGACTTTGGACGATATAACATACCTGTTTTGATAAACAGTGATATTTAGTAATCAATCAATTTCACAGTTTTTTTGTTCTGGAAGAAAACTATATTTTTGTCGAAATTCGTGCACGCATATAAACAACATAACTTTCTTTACAAGTTTCTACTTAATTTTAAACTATTTGAATATAAAAACACGGCACGTAGATATACCAAACAGGTGCAAACTAATTTATTTCTAAAATGATAAATATAGTTATATACGACGCAACAACTGTATAGCATGTCGATTATGTCATTTCTTGCACACGTTAGCTTTTTTTTTTAATTTCTAGAAATTCTGCACCTCTTTCACACAGGATGTCTCAAAAATAAGTGCCAAAGTTTTAACCATGTATTTAACTCATCAAATGCAATAACTTTCGCCTAATATTTTTTTCGCAAACTTAAAGATAAATAATGTAGTGTATTAAAATCAGAAATTTTCGTTGTGTTCTACTGCAGCATAAGTCGAAAAGTTTAGCATTTAGGATAGCAAACACTTAAGATAGTGAATCATTCCAGAAAATAATCGCATATACTAATTAGACATTATTTTTATTCGTAGGCAGTTCGTTCTATTAATGAATACAAACTACGGGATTCCAGATTTATTTTATTATTTTAGAAAACGTATTCATATTAGTAATGTTTCGAAAGTGTCAAATACATTTTAGAATCATCATTATTAAAAAAAGAAACAATAGAAATAAAAGAATTAAAAACAACTGACAAAATAATTACTGATAAAGTACCTACTTCTAATTCTAGGAACAATTTGTAAAAGTAATTACAAAACTGAAAACATCAGCAATGAAAAGAAATATTTTAAGTAATATAATAATTTTTTACCCAACCCATATTATTGGTGTTGAAAGTGTTATATAAATAATTTAAATTCTAAAGAGTCTGGAATAGATTAGATAGCGATGGTACATTTAAAATTAACAGTTTACACAAGATTCCACCCTATATAGCTTATTAATAAAAGACTCTTTTTGAAAAGAGGGATTTGAATATGTCAAATAATAGACCGTTAGCTCTTGTTTCTAATCTAACGAAAATTGTGGAAAAAATAATAAAAATCCGCATTTATAGAAACATAAAATTATATCAGAGAATTAATTAGAATTTAAGATGGGGAAATCAGCCGAATATGCAATAGTATTTGTTATTAAGATCATTTATTCTATCATAGACTATGATATCGTCCGCATCAAATTAATATAAGTGATACGGAATTCCGATGAATTGCATGAGTCGAGTTCGGTTCCACAATTTACAGTACTTGGGGACCAGTTTTGCTGTTCTATTCTTTGTATTGTAATATTTAAACACCTGTCTCTATTTGTTGTTGTTTTCTTAATGCTTTATTTACCTTATTCTATTTTAATAATACCATGCTATATGTAATATTTAAATACGTATCGAAATGTTGTTGTGCTTAATTTTAATTGACATTTTTTTCTTTTACCTCAAGGGAATTTATAGATAGTCTCCCACGTACTGGTCTAACGAATTTAGTGGGTGATTTTATTTATTTCTATTGTATTTAGTTTTAAATGAAAATACCCTTAATTTCCTTAATTAAAAACCGTAATAATTCATTTGTGGAATTTTGCTCTTTATTTTCTGGTCTAGCTCATTTAAAGCAATAAAACAAAGTTGTTTAAACTTTCAGTATTAATTATTTTATTCTACGTTTATGGTTACATGTATGATTTCAAAATCCATCTATAAAATATTTAAACGCAAGTATCAACTAAACATCTTGTTGCTATGACATTTTTATAATATCCTGCTGATTCTTTTGGAGTTCTTGTTCTGTTTTCGTCTTCGAAATCTATATGATACAGTCCAAATCTAATTCTGTAAAAATAAGAGTATATTATTTTATTTACTTATTTTACTTAGGTAGGTAGGTATCAATTTAATATTTAAGTTTCAAAATGTTTAACATTTCTAATAAAAGAACTAATTATACTTATTATTACATAAAAAACTTCCATCACTATTTAAAAATACATACGAATATCCACTGTTCCACTCGAAACTGTCCAAAAGACTCCAGGCAGTATACGCAAAAAGTCTTACGCCGTCTTCATATATAGCGTTTAATGCTGCACTTAGGTATAACTGCAGAAAAAGAACATAATGATTATTGTATTAGTGTTACATTACTCTGATCCTTATTTACACGAATAGTGTTCATTAACTACGTTCGCTAACAGTTTTTACTAATAATGTTGGCAAATTTAAATTTTTATTAACATTTATAATAACATTTACTTGCAACCTACTATAAGGCTGTTAACAAAGCGAACTAACATTGAGAAAATTAGATAATTATTTTCAAAATCTAAAAATAATATTCTGTACCTAATAATATTAAAAGTAAGAACTTGTTTTTTCTTATAAACATGTAAGTATCAGTGTTTTCCTTCTCTTTGCATTTTTTGACAAATTAACACCTCTGCTGCATCACTTATCATTTGACTGTTTAGAAATCATAGAAATTCTAAACTAACAATAAACTTTCTTCAATTTGGGTTGGGTATATTGATAATACGGTCATTCATTTTTAAGCGGACGCCTTAAATTAACTAATAATAAAACTAATATTGTTCGGAAACATTATTCGCTAATTGTTATTAACAAATATTACCACGTAAACACAATTAGCTAATAATGTTCTCGTCATCGCATGGCTTTAAAGTTAAACGGTTTTGTCAATATTAATGTTAGAGCAATTTGAACGATGAGTTACAATTGCCCAATGTAGCATTAAAAATTAGTTATAAAAAAGTTACATATTATTTCAAAATGTACATATTTCTAGAATATGCTATTAACATTTGAAAATTTTGTCTACTGCCATGAAGAAAAAGAATGTGATCAAAATATAAGATAGTTGTGTAGTAGTTATTCTGAACTGAAAAGGATTTATTATTCCGATATTTTAGTGAATTCTTCATTACAAACAAAGAAGTTTTGTGGCAAATACTACAAATATTAAATTAATAGTTAATTAAATATAGGTACAATGTTTTTTTTTTTGTTAAATAATCACCTGATAGTAATTAATCCTTTCAATATCGATCACTGTGTCTGGAAGATCTGCATATCCCTGTTCGGTTATGGCAATTTCAGGGTTCCGATATTTTTCTTTAATGTATGTCAACAATGCTCTAAATCCTTCTGGAGCAACCTAGAAAATGTTAAACTTAAAATTATTATTATTGTTAATTCTAATCAGCTAATAATAAATTAATCGTAATTGTATAAGTGATTTTCTTTCTAAATCTGTGTCATAACTTCAGAAATTAGAAGATTATTCCTTGGGCCATTTTAGAAAACTAAGTAACTTTTTTTGAGATACAGGACGTTGACGACGTTTGACATAGAAAGATAAATGTTGAAATAAAGATATAATAATCAAAACAAAGCAAAAATAGTCTCATACAACTGCGTTGTAATTTTTTTAAGCCATCTGAATTTTTTAATTTACTGTTAATTTTATATATTATTGGCCCTTGTCTCCTTCAAAGTACTCTCCTCCCCTATTCACACACGTCTTCCAGCGGTGTTTTCATTTCGTGGAGCAGTCGTGGATAGCTTCATTTGCAATGGCTTTTAATGTATGTGATGAATTTGCTTTGATGTTATCAATAATCTGAAAACGGCGTCCTTTCAGCACTGATTTTAATTTCGAAAACAAGAAAAAATTGCAAGGAGCCAGGTCTGAAGAGTAAGAAGAGTGCGGGAGGATAGTAATCTGACTCTTGGCACATAACTGACAAAGCTGAGTGTGCGAGCGTATTATCAAGATGCAAGAACCGTGAGTTATCTCGCCTTTTTGCAGATTTTTTCACGTAAGCGTTGTAAAACGCCACATGGTTCACTGTTTCACCTTGAAGCAAAAATTCAAAATACACAATTCCATTAAAGTTGAAAATAAGAACAGTGAGCATCACTTTGATATTGAATCGAGACTGGCGTACTTTCTTGGTGCCTGTAAATCCTTTGTCAATCGGTTGGATGATTAAACTTTTGTCTCAATGTCATTCATAGCCGTAACCCCAACACTCGTCTCGTTATGATCCTTTGAATGAATGTTATATGTGGTTTTATCGGCATTGGATTGTTCAAGGAGTTGCCCACAAAAGTCCACACAATTTTCTTGAGACGAATACAAGTAAATCAAGTAGTAAGCAGATATTGGCAGGGGATGTTGGGATGCATTTGGATAGGGCGTGCAGAGTGAGATATGTTGTTGGTCATAGTGATTGTACGTCAAGTAATGCTGTTCAGTGTAGTTTTACCGTTACCAGGAAGGGTCAGTTGGAGGTCCATATTTGGCTGGTGTTATCTCCATGTAAATTTACAGTGAAGAAGGATTGTCGAATGGATTTTGATGCATATGGACCTGCTGGTTCAATATTGTTATTTAATATTATGCCTACTAGTGTGTCTAGTCGTCGGTCATCAAACGAGGAACAAATTTTGCTGCAACTCGACTGGCATGTTCAATATTTTAGTCAAAGTTTCATTGTATGACTCAATTGAGATACTAACAACCCCTTCTGCAATTTCTCTGACAGTCAATCAGCAATCTGCACGCACCAGATTTTCGAAACGTGGGAGTCATCAATTGAAGTCGATTGGTCCTGGTCGAGAATCGTCTTCAATTGACACGACCACTTTTTAACCGTGAAAATCATTCGTAACATTGCGTACGAGTCAGGGCATTAACTCCTTAAGCTTGTTTCAAAAGTTGAAACGTTTCCGTGAGAGTTTTCCCTAGTTTCATGCATAATGTTACGATGCATCGTTGTTCCAAAAAATCGTACATTTCAAAAATCGTCATTAACATTTAAACACGTTGTACTCAAATAACAATATCACGAAAATTAAATGAGATATCAACAATACTGTCAACCGCATATCACTAAATATCTCCAGTAGGTTATTTTCTAAACAGTAGAGATGCTCGAATCGATTAAATTTTCATTCCAGTGCCGTTTTAAAACCAAACTGTTTTGTTAAGTTTATTTAATAAAACTCCTACAGAACTACATTCAGAGAAAACCCAAAAGGCTTTATACTTACGTATACTACAGGGCTGCGTTGTAGAAATATATATGGTTGCAAATGTACTTAGTTTAAAGCCAAACAATCATAAGAACAAGATTAAACAGCATTTAAATTGTTACTTGGGCAGTCTCTACAACTTAGTCCATAAATTACTTAGTGATTTTGATGAGTTTTTGAAGTTCTAGGAGACAAATACATATACCTACCTTTAACCAGCTTACTGCTGATCCCCCCCAAGAAGGATCCTGGTAGATGAGAACGTTATCGTCACTATCGAAACTAGCGGGACTTATCTCGGAACTGTTGTCAGATGTTGTAAGTACACTGGAGTAATGGTTTAACGCTATAAAATCGTAGGCGCCTAGGATTTCTAAACTCTCCAATAGTGTGAACTTTGGTAAACGGGAAACTGGATATCCCTGCGCGGCACTTTGACTTGCAATGGTATCGATCATGGTCTGAGGATAATTGCCGTACACTAGTGGATGAAGGTACCAGCCCAACTAAAAATATACATAATTTTACTTAATTCCTTCCAGTGAATGACCGAATACATAGTATTAAATGCAGGCTGGTTGGATTTTCTTTATGAAACTTCAAGAACAGAATATATTTTTAATAAATAATGATTGTTTGCTATACTTTTACAACATACAGGTAATAAAGTAATATAGTAGATCTATCAAAAGTATTTGACTGTGACATTGTAATAAAAAAAAGTGAAATCTTATGGACATGTAAATTTATTGATGTAAGATCTTCTGACTTAGATGTTGATATAAATTTGCCTTAAGCCAGTGTTGTTTTTATTACATATCTATTTTTTTGCGGTTTTGCTGAAGACGTTATAGTTGTTTCAAATTCAATGAATTTCGGAGAAATTTGGCTAGTTTTGAACCATAAAAAACTTGTTATCTACAGTTTCATACTATTGTAGTAAATTATCCTTACAATTATACAACTGGATAAAAGAAATCAATCCAGAATGTTTTAAGCTTCTAGATATTTACCTATAGTTACGTCATATATATAATTAAAAGTTACAAGAAATGTGTGCGTTGCTGTAAGGAAAATTTTTTATCTCACAAATATTAAATTCCCAATTATGGTGTAATCTTTTGGGCAGATGATTCTGCAAGTCGTATATTCATATTACAAACCTGACCTATCGGATTCATATATAATCTAGTTTATAGAAACGGTCGATTATCTCTTAAAGTAAAATAGCTATCGAGAAATCGTAAGACATACATGTTTTAGGGTTTTTTAAAATCTATTACAATAAAGAAAAATGAAGTACACAAAATCAGTCAATAAGCTACGAAAATCATTTTCTTATAAATTATACAAACATATATTTTAGTCCATTAAGTTTATAGTCCATCAAGTTACCTTTGAAAATTTCTAGCTCCATAATAACACCGCGTCGTTCTTTTGTCTAATAGTGATTATTTTGGCAATACCTCTCAAAAATTAGTGTGAATAATTTTCTCGCAAAAAAATTAAGTGAAACCGAGAGTATTGAAGTTTTAATGATCATAGGATATGGTGTTAGAAGTTGTGATGAAGTAGTGGATATTCATTCATGGGGATGAATGGGGGAAGGATGAAATCATCCGTTTCAAAAACATTGCAGCGTTTTCATGAAACTGGAGGTGTTACAGATCGACGAAAAAATGTAAAACAAGTGAGCGTTACAAATGAAGAAAATTCTTTGAATGTCATGTTAGATGTGGTGGAAAATCCAATAAATTCGACGCAATAGAGGGCTTCAAATTATATTATATCAATATTTCATAAAAAAATTGCAAATGGGAAAAATTACATCCATATAAAATTCATTTGTTACAAGAATTGATTATGATGATGTTAAGCGAAAATATCAACTTTGTCACCCACATATTGTTTTCTGACGAATCTATATCTTTTGTTTAAACGGGCACGTAAACCGACACAACTATAGGTATTGGTCCAACCAAAATCCGTATTGGATGGAAGAAGTTCACACCCAACGACCACAGAAAGTAAATGCTTGATGTGGCATTATTTTGGACACTTCATAGGACCATATATTATAAGTGGAAATTTGACCTCTGAACATATTATTCCAGAGCATAGACGATTATTCCCGAACACTAACAATGTCAATTTGCCGGCAGAACAAATATGGTTTCAACATGATAGGGCTAGATATTTTGGACGTGTGGTACGGGCATATCTAGATGAAATTTTTCCTTCCTGATAAATGGATTGGACACAGAGGGACAATAGAATGGCCAGCTAGGTCTTTTTCTGTGGAGTCATATAAAAATTGTCGTGTACAAAAATGTACCGTAAAATATCGAAGAATTGGAGGCATTACGCACTGCACATTAAGACATTATTGCTCCCAACACTCTTTTAGATTCACTACTAAATGTTGTTCAGCAAATTCATCATTAAGGAGGTATGAATTTTTTTAATAAAAATTTAACACCTATCTTAAAAGGTAAATATTTTTCGAATAGCTATCTAGTTTGATGAAAAAAAAACCGAACCACTGTATAATGAAAAAAAGAAACAGAAATCTATTTTGTTTGAGTTTACACGTTTTTATTTGTTGTATTATGAAAATCAGACTGTTTTTGTTGTATTATGGATACTGCACCCTGTTTTGTTGTAGGCATTGATTATGATGATATATTTTCTAATTTTAGTTACTGGAAAACCTTGTCTGCCAATCAATATTTTTCAAAAGCGATAATTATTCGATTTTCAACACTGTTTCTTCCAAGAAAGAAATTTGTTTAGAGATAGCTATGAAAAAGTAGGTTCTATGCAAATTATATTATATTTTGTGTTCCAATAAAAACAAAAGTCGGTAAAAGCCTGACAAAAGATAACCGATAGTAACCACTGCGCATCCTACTTTCAGTGCACAAATGAATTCAATTTACCTGTACTTACATCAAAATCTCTTTTTCTGTTAGCTGCTTCTATATCTTCGGGAGTATCACTTCCTGGTAGAGGAAATTCTGTATTTAAGACAATACTAATTCTACCTATAAAAACGACAAAGAAGTGTACAAAATTAAATATTATAATATTAAAATAACTTTTTTGATTATGAATTATGACACCGGTTAAGTTTCAGCATCATCAAACTGCTGAATGAACTGGGATAACTGAAAACTTATTGAACTGGATATTTTTCATAAGTTTATTGATTGATTGTTTCCAGGGAGCTATTTAATATATAAATTGGTTTATTCTTTGTTTGAGATTTGAATAATTTACCATATGTGCAAATAAATAACTGCGCTGTTATTTTGGTTTATTATTTTATTAATCAGATACCTTTTGCAATATGCATTTTGCCTCTTCATGTAACTCCTAATTTTAAGTAAATATTTATTACTAAAAATATACAGTGTGTATAATATAACAGCAAATTCTGATGTATTTATAACTCTATATCGTAGTTCGTAGTTAATTTAGGAGCTAGTTATATCTTAGTTAGTTTTCAAAGCTAAGAAAATAAATCTAAATGGCACTGTTATGGTACACTTTACAGTTTATTTTATAGCAGTTTCCTATGGGCCAAGCCTAAATGAAAGTATTAAAAAAAGCAAATAAAAATTTTGTCAATCGATTTCTATCAGATCTAATTGAATTACCACTTTGAAAAAAATATGTACCTAATAATTGTCTATGTCTTGCCTAACAGCATGCCAAGTTTCATTAAAATCCAAGAGGTGCAACATGTCAAAGAAAAATTTAAAGTGACTGGACCACCTTAGGACTATTATGTTGACGCTTTTAATTCGCATTATATTTCAATAATCTTTGGAAAAATTGCGTTTTGACAGCTCCTAAAAAGTATATCAACACTTGGCGGTGTCAACTAGCCTATTACAATGTTTTTTTATCTGATTTTTTAGTGACTAGCGAATCGAATTTAACTCAAACTGAATTAAATTCACTAATAACTATAATAAATTAAAAGTAAATAAACTTTTTTAAAAAACAAGCTTTTATTTAAATACGCTAAAAAGAAAAAATAAACTTTAACTTTAAAACTTTTACTATCAACTTATAACTCATTACACAATTTATATGTTATAAAAGCTTGTTGCGAGATTTAAGTACTCGTATTTACTTAGTATGAAAATTGTTATAGTTAAAATCAATCACATAAAGTTATTTAATTGACTTGTTTATTTACACAAGCAAATCTCTCTTAAAGTTAAAGTTTATTTTTTTCTTTTTAGCGCATTTAAATAATTCCAACTAAGTAAATACGAGTACCTACTTAAATCTCGCAACAAGCTTTTATAACATATAAATTGTGTAATGACTTTATAACTTGAAAGTAAAAATTTTAAAGTTAAAGTTTATTTTTTTTCTTTTTAGCGCATTTAAATAAAAGCTTGTTTTTTAAAAAGGTTTTTTTTACTTTTAATTTATTTTTTACTTTTTAGTTATCGCTGTACACGTTCCTCAGTCTGTTCATCTCAATCAACGCATCATTATTGCAAGGTTGTTTGCCGATTAATTTCGAACAGTCTAGCTCTTCAATAAGGAGACCTTCTAATGATTTTACCCTATCTTACCAAATTACACAAGTCAAAGTTAACTAACCGTTCCTACAGACTTGAACAATTTGACCTCAATATCATAATCGAGGATTCCAAAAACCCCAGTACACCAAAATTTCAGACGGATTGAATAACGGAGTTTATGTTCAGCATCTTATTTTTTTAAAACTCGCATTCGTATTCTCTGTAAGTCCTTTCATTTGATACCCATATTGTAGGCAAACATTAAAAATAATTAGTCCTCCATCTTGGGCGTTCCACCATGTTGGATTTAGAATAACGTCACACAGCTAATCATGTATTGTTATCCAAACCGAATGTGTATATAAAATTTTAGCTCAATCGGTTGAAGATATCTGCTTCAAAATTGAGTTTCAAGCTTTAGAAGCCCGCCATATTGGATTTAGAGTGACGTCACTCTATTTTTCGAGTTATTCTTAGCAAGCCCTTTCATTTGATACTCATATTGTAGGAGTGCATTAAAAAAATAATTAGTCCGCCATCTTGCATGTGCCGCCATGTTGGATTTAGAATGACGTCACACAGTTAACCATGCATTGTCATCCAAATTGAACGTGTATACAAAATTTCAGCTCAATCGGTTGAGGATATCTGCTTCAAAATTGAGTTGCAAGATTCCACCCGAACAAACATATTACATACATTGCAAGTTAAATAAAAGCTTGTAAAATCAGATGGAGCCATTGGCTCCCGCGTACAATGTAATTCCTCTTCGTGATGATACGACGAAGAACCGCTGGGTCGTTTGTCGGTTGTCGCACCTATGACACACTGATGAGGACTAATAAGTCCGAAACCGGTCTGTGCCTGGTGGGTTAAACTGACAAACGATCCTAGCTGTTGCACTAGGTGTTGCGAGTATAATTCAATGCCGGTAGGGTCATATAGCTCTCGGAGTAGTTGTTTCTCGCAACACTGACAATTCAAACATTGTGTTACGCCCTTTGTGGGTGGCAGTCGTGTAACAAGTACCTGCAATATAGCAGGTCGCTTCCTACTGTAGCCATTTGAATGGCACAGTTGGAAGTCCGCACGACAGATGGAGCCATTGGCTCCCGCGTACAACTATAAAATCAGATAAAAAAAACATTGTAATAGTCTAGTTGACACCACCAAGCACTTTTTATGAGCTGTCAAAACGCAATTTTTCCAAAGATTATTAAAATATAATGCAAATTAAAAGCGTCAACATAGTAGTCATAAGGTGGGTCTAGTCACTTTAAATTTTTTTTCGACATGTTGCACCTCTTGAATTTTAATGAAATTTGGCATGCTGTTAGGCAAGACATAGACAATTATTATATTTTTTTCAAAGTGGTAATTCAATTAGATCTGATAGAAACCTATTGACAACATTTTTATTTGCCTTTTTTTAATACTATTGTTTAGGCTTGGCTCATAGGAAACTGATATAAAATAAACTGTAAAGTGTACCATAACACTGCCATTTTGATTTATTTTCTTAGCTTTGAAAACTAAATAAGATATAAATAGCTCCTAAATTAACTAAGAAATAGAGCTAACATAGGTAACGATATGGGTTCCTACTAGGGGCAGTTTCGCCATGGAAGTATGGCTAGACCCTTTCAATTAGCACCTAAATTTGTGATAGCTTACACCTTACATACTGTAGTACTTAAAATATATATCTATTATCTAAATTCTTTCTTTTAACGGTTAACATTAAACATATGTGCTAATTTCTACATGACATTTTTCCCTACCTCTTTGCTTCGCTTTGTATTTCAGCTGGTACAGTCGATATACTTTTGCATGAGCCCTTAACACGTTATGAGCACATTTGTATTCTGTTATGCCAGTCGGCACACCCGCCTGTCCTAGAATATATATGTCTATAATGGTAACAGTGACACAGAACGTGAGCGGTTCATTAATCGTTAGCCATGTTTTCACTCTATCGCCAAAAAGTCGGAACAGTAAATCTGCGTATTCTGTGAAGTATTCTATAATTTTATCATTGTTCCAACTTCCTAGGTAGTGTACTGGTAGAGGTATGTCCCAGTGGTACATAGTAACCTGCAAATGACAATATTAATAACACAGCTCCACAAAATAGTATACAGGGATGGCCAGAAGTACGGAATAAAATTCATATCTTTTGAATGAGTAAAATTTTTTTAAAACGCCGAAACACGTTAATTGATTTTTATTTTTTCCCATCTTCGTGCTTTGAAATTATTCAAACCAAATTTGAATAATAAACCAAAGTAGGTAAGTAGGATATATCGATGGAGGCTTCATCAAACATAAGTCGCCATACTGCTGATTGAGTTCATTTGTGATTGTTTGTGGTTCAATTTGCTAAAAACAATGTAAAATTGGTGACCTGCGGAGATACTGGAGTGTGCGAAAGAGGTTTCATTGAACTTGCTCCCAAAGAAATCTCGAGAAGTTTAAGAATGTGTTTACCAACGTTTTATGGATTGGTGCAAAGAAAAAAAACATTAAGTTGTATTTAGAAGATGTATTGATGGTCAACGTTGGATATAAAGTTACGTTCAAGAGACAAAATGAGGGATATGAGGTACCAAAACAATCTCGAGTATTTACAAAGGAGCTGATAGCTTTTTGAATAGTGCACCTGATGAAAGTAAATGCTTTAGAAATAAAAGAAGAAAATTTTTAAAAAGCCTCTTTAAATGTCGTCCTAATATTGGGGGTTGCAGGCGCACGCCGTTCTGATGAATTAGTCAATTTAACAATTGATAATCTTGAAGATGTGAAATCCGCCTTAATTATAAAAATTGCCAATACCAAAACCAAGAGATCACGTTTTTTACTGTGCTGGAAGACAATTATCTAAGTCTTTAACGAAAATATGTGTGAATTACGTCCACCCGGATTGGTAGAACGAGGATTATTTCTCAGATATGTTAGTCGAAAGTGTCGTGAATGGTGGTCGGTATTCATAAAGTGCGCCTTGCAAGAAGTTGCAACATTTTTGAAGCTGGACAACTGGAAAGAGTACAGTGGACACGCATTAAGACGAACGTCTGCTACTCTTTTAGTTGACGGCGGTGGTGACCCCACTTGTTTTAAAAGACACAGAGGATGGAGAACGAGCTTTGTGGCGGATGGCTACTTTTGAATAAGAAAATAATGCGAAAAGAATACTGAAAGTTGATAATGGTGGTCAAGCACCGTTGTCATTTCTGATTTTACAACATCTAAAAATAATATAACTAATAATGAAAACGTGTTGCACTGCTTTGAGAATTGCTCCAAGAATGAGGGTAGTGGCAGTTTCAGTGGTTTGTTTAATTTTAACAGTTGTTCAAACTGTGTATTTAATATCAATGTGGATAAACAAAAATTATTATTATTCTTTTGAATAAACTTTTATAAATTAAAACTTGATTAACGCTTTTAATCTAAGGATTAAAAGTGAATGCTTTTGTTGCTAAGATACCTCTTTTTAATCAGTAGGGAAAATGTCAATCTTAGAGACTTCTGATAGTCAAAAAATGTCATAGTTTTGTGACGGTTGAAGAAAAAAGTCTTGTTTATAGTACATTGTGTAACGAGTGAGGAAAAGTTGCCAATAGCGCCACGCGGGCTCAGTTGACGCACGAGCGAAGCGAGTGCGGAAAGCGCCCAAGTGGCGGTATGGCAACTTTTCCGAACGAGTTGCACATAATTTTTCTATGACAAGTGAGCGTCGTTATGGGACCTATAGCGTAGGGGGTTATATGTACGGAAAGTGCTAGATAGTACAACGGCGTGATGTTATTTTCTTAGGTGGTCTCATAGCGAAAGAGCGTGATAGAAAAATACTAGAATACATTATTCCCATGTATTTTGAGTCATCGTATCCAATGTCAGAATTGCCCCAGCAAATCACCAGAATTTTCTAACCTGCAAAAAATAGGTTAAAATCGCTAACATTCTCGAATTTCAGATTGATAAGGCTATAAATAAGACAAAAATATATTATTCCCATGAATTCAATGATACCAAGGATTATTTAACAAGCATAAAACCTAACAAAGATAGGCTATTGATTAGGACCTTTTTTAAAAATCATGGTTTTTTTTCAATTTTTACATTTTTCTTGGAAAATTAACGTTTTTCTGTAGGAAATTTAATCTAGATCCTTCAGAAAAACGCGAGAACGACTCAAATTTATATTTTAGTTTTTAAGTTAGATTTTATCAGAAAAGTAATATTTGCGTAATCGAAAAAGGGGTTCCCAATTTGAGACAGTATGGGTTCTCAATATGAGACTATCTCAAATTAGGGAATAAAGCTGAAAATGACCTATTGTTTGTTCAAACATATTTTTATTGAATAAACAGAACATTAAACATGTTTAGGTATGGCTTTCTCAAAAACAAAAAACATTTTTTTCTTTAAACAAAGTAACATTTTCTCTTAAAACAACGAATAGGTAATTCTGTGAACAATATAAAAAAAAGTTTAGGATTTCAACCTTAACAACAAACGGCACAAATAAACTGTTTTGATTTTATTTCTCCACATTCTAGATGTGCCCATTTGAAACAGGCCTGGCATTTCTCCCACTTTTCACCTCGCGTATCTTTGGAATACAAACCGGCGCAATATGGACTCTCTGCATCGTCTTCCTCGTCTTCTGAAGAAAAATCAGTGGTGTGCGAAAGAGTGTCATCATCTTCACTGGACGCTGATGATTCAGTAAAAACTTTCCTTTTCCCAGTTCCTTTTCCTTTTGCAAGCACTTTTCCTTGGCTTTCTTTGATTTTCCCTTTTTTGGCCTCCTTTTCTTTTTTCTCTTCAAATTTTCTTCTATTTGTAGTTTGTACGGAGCAGATTGCGTATTTAGTATTGAAGGTCTAACGAAAAACCTTTGTTTCGTTCATCTATACTAGTTACCCAGTGGTCAAAATTGTTTACCTTCATATGTGACGCCTTGTCCCGTAATATGAGATACCTCATATTAGGAGCTCTCAGGTGTCTAGGGTCTTAAGAAATTTTATTCAGTTTTAGATTAGTTGGTAAAAGCATGAACAAAATTGACTCAACGGCATGATAAATAGATACTACGTCATGTTAGCTTTATGTTAATGATAAACAACACTGTCTTGTTAATAATTTTCTGTTTTCTACATACCTTTACGACAAGCACTGCAAGTCTTTGGCGACCGGCACACAGAAACTTGCCGCGCAAGCAACTGCTTTCCCGCGGGACGCGACCTCTGTTAACATACATAGTGAACTGCCGGTAACATAGAACAGTGGCGCTCTTTTCAAAAAATGGCCTAATTTGCGAGAAAGCCCGGTGTCTCATATTCGGAACTGTCTCATAATAGGCATCTTTACTCTATATAAAAAAAAAACAGGGTTAAAAGGAACTATGACGGCCAAGCAATTTTATTGCATGAATCGTTCAAAGGGTTATTTCAGATAAAAAAAAACGCGGAGTGCTATTAAATTAGAGAGTGGAAATTGGAGATAGGGTAAAAATGCACTCTTGTGAACTTTTTAATTGTAGCTCAAAAACGAAGCAAAGTTTCGGTATAGTTTATAGGAAAAATTATTTAGAGAATTGAATTTCCCATCGAAATTGCTTATTTAAAAAATTAAAAAGGAAAATTTTATGCAAAAAATCGTCAATAAACATAAAATGAAAAAAGCAAAAAATTCGATTTTTTTGATTTTTATTACTTTTTTGCCTCTAGTTTTTTTTGAGTAAAGATATGTATAGGCATTGCTCCATAAAAAAAGTAGATAAAAATATAGATAAATTTCCTTCAAAACGAGAGGTTGTAAAGTATTTTGGATGAAAATTGACTGATATATGACCGTTCAAACTTTTCGTCGTGTTTACCCTTACCTATAAGTTTTAATTCTTATTTCTTGCAAAAAAGGAAGGAAATAAGACTTTCAAGGACTTTCATCACATGACTTGTTCGAAGGGTCATTAAAAATTAAAAAACCGCGGGGTGCTACTAAATTAGAGGGTTGAAATTGAAGATAGGGGTGAAAATGCACTTTTGCAGATTTTTAAATATAACACGAAAACGAAGCAAAAAATCGTTAATAAACAATTTTTTAAAAAGCAACTATTTTTTACGTAAAATTTTTCTTTTAAATTTTTTAAATAAGCAATTTCGATGGGAAATTCAATTCTCTACAAAATTTTTCCTATGAACTATACCGAAATTTGGCTAGTCAGCATAATTTTCTAACCTCAAAAATAGATATTTGATTTCTAAATTAATAACTTCTTAGGTATCGATATTATGCTTATCTGTTAACGGGACTGATATCAGATTGGTAATGAGCACCTCAAAATTGATACAGGGTCGTCCAAAGCGCAATATGAGTAGTAGGAACGGTTATGTCAGGTTCAGAGCTAGTTTTTTTTTTTGTGGAGCTGTGTAATTAGAGTCCCCAATCAAACCATTTTTCAGACAAGGAAATGTATTTTATGGAAAAAATTTAGCAAAGTAGGTCATTCAACATTTTAAAATTTTTTTCTGTTCCAGCATAAAAGAAACTTCAATGAATTTCTCTGTTTATTTATGTTAAATTTCATGAACCCATTAATACAACTAATGACAACAGTGCTTTTTTAAAATTAATGCAAAAGGTTCAAATAAATCAGTTAATTTTGGGTCATGGAGAAGATACAGCAGCATGAAGATAACCTATTAACAATTGTTTTTCTTCTAAACTAGTTCAGGTATCAGTACCAAATTTCGTTAATATTTTTGACTATTTATATACGGGTATACTCGCAAAGAAATGGTTTGTGTAGAAACCACTTTTTCGTAACCACATTGATTAAAAGTATCTCGACTTTTTTGCCTCTTGGAAAATACAAGGTTAGTTCTTGTAGTGTTAAAGAGTGACGGTAATTGGAAAAAATTATTGGTATTAAAAAGTTTGTTAAAGGACAGGATATTCAGGTAAAATTAAAAAGTACCTATATTAATATACATCAAAAGCCACAATCATCAAATGCAATTAATGTTTTTAAAAAATAAACATGATTATTTAAATCCTCCAATAAATTACGCAAATAATAAAAATAGAGAAAAACACATTCAAAAAAAAGAGAACAAATTTTAAATTTTTAAATGTTTTGAGTATTTAAACAGCAGATGCTGGAAAGGTAAGTGTGTACAGCTGGATTTTACGAAAGATTTTATTTATTCCAGCAATGAATATATAAATATAGTATCTACAGGGTGTCCCAGAATATGTGGTCAATCTCTCGGATTTATACAGGGTATGCTAAAATAACATTTTCCCTAGAGGGCCCCCTACAGAGATACAGGCCTCTACTGTACAGGCCAGATTAAACAAAAATAGTTTTCTCTCGAAATCAGTTCTTTTTAGCGATATCAACCAAGAGTGCCTTTTTTTAGTTTAAGGTACAAGTTATCTAAAAGTAAGTATTATTTTGTGCTTTTATCGTAAAGGGTATTAAAAAATTGACATTACAGCTAGTCCGTCCGTTTCATAGGTCAATTTTAAGGAGTCTTATCGTATTAAAAAATAATTCAATTACATTCAAAGTATTTTAGAAGTTATTAAAAAAAAAATCGATTTTCAGGGGCGTCCTTTAGGGGAAATTTTTATAGAAACTTGGCATGTTATTTTAACGTCCCCTGTCTGAGAGATTGCCCACATACTCTGGAACACCTGGTATAAAATACAGGAAGCTAAGTCGTCCTAAAATACATAACTTATATTAAAATTTAACATTATTTCAAGGAAATCTTGAGACCAAATAAATTTTGGAAGTTTTTGTTCCTATTTTTTAACTTTCTAGGACAATAGTATGAGCACAACGGACCAATTCCAAAAATTAAATTATGGCCGAATTCTTATAAATGAAATAAAAATAATAGAATTAATTACGGCTACGTTGGAAATCAAATTTTGAGACAGAAAAGTTAAATTTTTGCATTTTTCGAGAGAGTGAAAATTGCAATCATGTTGCCTTTTGTTATCGCTCCAGCTTATAACGATACAAGAATCTACATCTAAAACTACAAATGGAGTCACATTAGAGAAGTCGGAGCTCTTTCGGTCATTCCTCTTTCTAATCTCATAATTTTTATCAAGTTAAGTTTAAATAAATGTAGAACCTATTTAATTAATTTTACAAATTGTATTCCAGTATTTCAAAATAGGTTTCAAGACGTCTTTTCACATATTTTCTTGTTCTTTTAAGGATTTCTGTGTTTTGATTAATTCATTGATACTCCTTTTCTTAGTTATAACACCCTATATCTCAAAACAGGATAAAATATTCAATTTTTTACACGTTGTTGTGTAACATGTTGTATAATATAAAAACTTGTAACAATACAAACGACAATTGGAGACAACCCACCCCGACTTTTTTTTACTAATAGTCTTTTCTTACCCATGGTTCTATTCCTTCCGCCAGCAATCCATTTATGAGATTGTTATAATATTCCACGCCAGCTGGATTAATTTCATTTATAAACCCAGTAGGAAGGAGTCTAGGCCATGATATTGAGAACCTGTAGAAGTTCACTCCAAGTTCCTTTAGAACAGCAATATCTTCTTCGTATTTATGATAAGAGTCAGATGCTACATCACCAGTACTTCCGCCGGTTATAACGGGTATGGTATGTACCAAATAGTCCCACCTACTTGGACCTTTTCCAGATTCGTTCCAAGCTCCTTCAACCTGGTACGCGGATGAGGCTGCTCCAAACAAGAATGTGTCTGGAAAAGTCAAATTACTGATCTCCTGACTTGATGCCCTGGAAAAAGAATTTAATAAAAAATAGAAGTTACTAATCTCTTGCCATGTATTCGGAGAAAGGAAAAACTGTTTAACAAGATTTAAATCCTTATTTTTTGGAAACAAATATTGTACCAATAAGCATCTTTTTTACACACTGATAAATGTACGTTTTAAAAATTTTCTCAAAATCTCTGCGAACCAAAGAAATATGACAAAAACCCATAAAACTGTTTAAATTATTCTTAACTGCTAATATAAGTTCTTAAGAATGCAAAATTGTACTAGTATAGCTTGATCTAAGTAATTCATATTTTTTTTCGCTCCTGACACCATGTTATCGGCTTGTAATAAAATAAGCATAAAATATGCCCAAGTGCGTATAGAGGGTCGCTGATATGTATGGAAACGGTCGATTATTTACTAAAGTAAGATAGTTATCAAAAAAATCAAAACACACAGACGTTTCAGAGTTTTTTAAATAATAATTAATAAGAGTTAAGTATACAGGATCAGTTAAAAAGTCATAACGAAACAAAGTTGCTTTTTCTTTAATGGAAAATCCTGTAGGTAGGTATATTATTCCATATTTCAATTCTTCTCGAAATTCTAGACAAAATTCATATAACACATCATGTACCTAAATTAACCGTTTTCGAGATATCGAACTTTGAAAGTAACTTTTTACTACTCTCAAATTTATAAAAGAAAAGGGACCCCAAATTATGGAAATTTATTTTGAAAATAACACAAGGTGGAGAATATGGATATGATTTAATTTTATTATTAGTTTTTTACATAAAATAAAAAAGCATAATAGTTGCAGCAGGGTTGATGAATATGTATGAAACGAAAAAATGTATTTTTTAATGAATGTCCTGGATATTTTAATTTTTATGAAAACAATAGTTATGCAATAAAGAAAGAGAGGGTTTAAGTTTTAATAAACAACAAATCTTTTTTTTTATTTATTTATTTATTTGCTCTTAAAATATCCAACGGGTGAAACCCACTTAAAGGATTAGTTTTAGTACAAGAAAAAAATACATTAATGAAAAGAAGCACTAGAAATACATCCTAAAAATTCATATAAAAGTTACAAAAGAATAAAAAGCAACCAATACACAAGAACAATACAAAATCTTAAGATCAAAAGTAATATATACCTATAAAAATCAAAGTCAATAAAAACAACCAACAGAACATAAATAAATAAATAAATAAATAATTATTTTATTTAGCATGTGCTAAATTTACAAACAAAAAGTAACAAAAAGAAAAATTTTACAAATAAGCAAAATATTTAGTGCAAATATAATTCCATTAAATTTTTTATAAACATATTTATATTTACAGAATTCTTAATGCCCTCCGGTAGCGAATTGAAAAGTCTAAGGCCATCTCCAAACATCTGTTTTTGCAAATAAGTTGTTTTTGAAAATGTTATATTATAATTTTGTCCAGAACGTATATTATATGAATGCAGTTCAGCACGCGTGACTAGATACGATACTAGATACTTTGGTAATATATTTTTACGCATTTTGTATATTAATACCAAATTAGCCTTTTCAATTTGCTTCCAAATAGGAATCCACTGTAAAGTTTTCAACATTAAATCAATTGAGGTATATCTACTGCAACTCAATATAATTCTCATACATTTATTTTGCAACCTTTGAAGCCTATCCAAATCTGTCCTTTTACATGATATTAATAGTGATGCACAATAGCTAAAGTGGGGGTTATTTAGTGTATTATAAATTAAGTGTTTACTGTCCGCAGTTAATGTGTCAGAAATTCTGTTGAAAAACCAATTTTTTTACCTATTTTTTTACATAGATAATCAACATGACATCCAAATGACAACTGAGGATCTAGAATCACCCCCAAATACCTAAATTGTGTAACTTTTTCAATTTTAGTGTCATTAATGTAAATATCTAAGTTATTATCTAAATAATGTTTACAATTTAGTTTTGTACCAAGTACCATATATTTAGACTTATTAGAATTTAATTTTAATTCGTTAATGCATAACCATTTGTACAAAATTTTCAGTTCGTTATTCAACCGGTAAGTAATATCCTTATAATCTCTACCCGATATCGCTATTAGCGTATCATCTGCAAACAGACTCACAAAATATTCATTTGGTACCTTATACAAATCGTTTATATAAATAACAAATAAAAAGGGCCTAAAACACTACCTTGTGGAACACCTATTTTGCTAAAAATTGTTTTTGATAAATTGTTATTAATCTTAGTTTTTTTAAACCTATTATCTAAGTAATACTTAACCACTGCAACGCACTGTGTTTTATACCATATAGCTGTAATTTTTGCAACAACCTTGACCTATCAATGGTTTCAAATGCACGTTGAAGGTCAATAAAAACACTTAATACAACCTTACCGTCACCAATTGCTTCTTTCCATTTGGCACACACAAAATTTAGTGCTGTTTCACATGAATGCTTTTCACGAAAACCTGACTGTCCTTCATAAATAAGATCGTTATATTCAAAATATGTCCTTAGCTGTTAACATACTAATATCTCTATAATCTTGTCAACAACCGGTAACAAATTAATTGGTCTATAATCGCTCGGTTGTACAGGTGAACAAACTTTTGCTACTGGCACTATAGTACTCGTCTTCAGATTCACTGGTATAGACGCTGTAGATAGTGACGTATTTATTAAGTACAGTAATGGATATCCAACCACCACAAAAATATCCTTCAGAAGTTTTATAGAAAGGTCATTATCAGATGATGCTTTATTTTTTAAGTTCATGACAGTCTTATATAATTTATTAAAGGAAATTGTACTAATTCGGTCTAATTCTTGTTTATTACATTCTATTGCATTTTGAAAATTATCTTTAACATTCGGTATGCTTTCGGCTATTGCTGTAACACTTGTTGCGTAGAAGTTATTGAATTTGTCTTGTTGATTACCTAACTCACTTTCAAACTTTATTTTCCCCTATGTTGTTTGTACCTTCCCCTTTTTCCGCCGATTAATTCCTGTAATGTTCTCCACATCTTTTTGCTGTCTCCTTTGCACAAATCTACATTTTTCTTATAATATTGCGACTTCTCATATCTTATGATATTAACAACTTGGTTTCTTTTTTGTTTATAATTAATCCAGTCTTGATTTAATCTTGTCATCTTAAACCTTTTATGGGCAAAATCTCTTTCTTTTTGAGCATTTATGATGTTACTATTTACCCAAGGTGTACATTTTACTCTTTTAACGGGAGCTATTTTGTCGAGCGACTCTGTAATATTACAAAGAAATTTTCCATATATTAGATCCACATCTGTTGATGTATATTCCCATGACTTTTCATATAAATCTAAAATTATTCTATTAATATTTTCTTTGCTAAGATTTCTAGATAGTCTAAACTGATCCTCCTTTTTCTTATTTACACACTCTAAATAGTACCCAATAATTGTGTGGTCAGTGATTTGCGGATATATTCTCGGTATTTCCTGTAAATTATAATCATTTGTAACTATAAGATCAATTAGTGAAGTTGTTCCCCCCACTATTCTTGTACATTCAGTAAGTATTTGTTTGAAACCAGCTTCATTTACTATGTTAGTAAGCTTCTTATTGTATACATTTTCGTTCTCCATATGTACATTAAAGTCACCTGCAAATATTGCTTTATGTTTACATATTAAGTCATCATTAAATACCTCTTCGAGAAAATTAAAGAAAATCTGGCAGTTCCCACTTGGAGATCTATATATTGATCCAATTACCACCTCATTTTTTGTTAATTTTATTTTAACTATTAGAGCCCAATAATCTGGTACCGAGTATTGATTTCTTATAACAGTAACGTCAATATGACTTCTTACATAAATACTTGTCCCACCGGTATGTCTGCTATGTGAATAACAAATAAAGTTATTATATTCTGGTATGGCTATTTCATAATCTGCAATATTTTCTCTAGGCCAAACCCTATATCGACGCATTTCCCTTCAAAAGGGCTATCCATTTATGCTTAAAAAATTAGGTGGTGCTATTTAAAAAAAATGTCGATGACGTCATAGGTTTATGAAACATAGCGCAAAAAAGGTTTAAGCAACGTGACAAAACGACAATTCTAATTTACTAATTGACGTGTTTTAGCGTTTTTGTGAAAACTCAACACAAAATGAAATATGAATTTTGTGCGTTACTTCTGGGACGCACTGTATATATTGAATCTTGGCTTTACATTTTTCAATTTCTCTTTTATATACTAAACACTCTTTATCAAAGACCGAGTGATCATATGTAATATTGGGTATTTTCAAAACCTGACAAGCATGTTTGCAGTTTATACAAATTGCATCTTCACTGACACAATCTTCTAGTCGGTGCTGTCCACCACATCTTGAACATACATCATTTTCCTGCTTACAAACCTTCCTTCATAAATGCGGTAACTTTCCCACCCTAGAAAAACTCTTTTCTCTTTCAGAAAATAATTAAATGCATTTGGTGATAATTCAATAAGTACATTATGTAACTTCTTATTTTTAGGAACATACTTCTTTATAAATTGTACAACAAAATTATCTACACCCAGAACATTTCCCCTTATGCAAGAGATCAAATCATCACATTTGTTTAAATGCTTGTCATGTACTCCATGGATAACCATTTTAGATTTTCTTAGCTTGGGAACTTGCACCTCATAATCCTCTGAAAGAGTAGAAGCAGCAACATCTTTCAATTTATTTAAATAATCCTCATCTTTACATTCAATAAGAATGCTGCCTTGGCCGCCCGTCTTAACATTATTTATAGAGATAGCACTACCAGAAGGATTAATTTTTTCTGTGACAACACTTTTTGTGGTTGTACTACAGGGGTCGGCATAAGTCAGGCAACCAATTTGCATTAAGAGAAAAAAATGCAGCTTCTGAAAACGCGTCTACTCGACGAGCACGTGTTATCATATTCATGACACAGACACAACTGTCTGAAGCACGAACATGCTTCGTTTTAATCTTTTTCCAGACTTATGAGCGTTGCCGATTTTTCGAGAGCGTTGCCTGACTTATGCCGACCCCTGTATTCTGGTAATTTTTTTTTCGGTTTAATTATTAAAGGAGGATTATTTACTTTAACAATATCACTCCACTTCCTATTTAAACTATATCTTTCTGTGACTCCTACTCCAGCTTCCATAATATTTAAACATTTTGAAGTTTTTACAAATATTTCTTCTGCTTTTTTCTCAATTTCTTCTACTTTTGATAAGACATTTAAATTATTTTGCACCACCTGTATGCAGTCTTTGCAGTACCACATCAAATTTTCACAATCACTGATAGCTTTCCTAACATTTTCTTTTACTTGTACGCACACAATATGAAACTTGTTTTTACAAAAATTGCACTGAATTTGCTTATTATTAACAATAAAATTATCAGAGCAGCTCGCACACACTTGTACGCCTGCCATCACAAAGAAGATACAAGATAAATGTTTTCTTTGGAATTCTGTTTTATAAGGTGCTCAAAGTGTTCACCATTTACCACCTGACAGTAATGAATTCGCTAAACCAAACTTTTGTAGTGAATCTAAAAGGGTGTGAGGAGGAATAGTGGAAATTTCATGCCTTAAACTTTCCTGCAACTCTTCGATATTTTGCGACTTTCTTGTAAACTACATTTTTTATGTGATCCCACAGAAAAAAGTCAAGCGGAGTCACATCGGGAGGCCTATCTGGCCATTCAATTGTCCCTCTGAGTCCAATCTATTTATCAGGAAAAGTTTTATCTAGATATGCCCGCCCAAAATGTGGAGGAGCCCCATCATGTTGAAACCAAATTTGCAGGTAAATTGGGACTGGTATTGTTCCAGAATAATCGTCTAAGCTCTGGAATAATATGTTTGTGAATTTTGTTTAGAATTTCGAGAAGAATTATTGAAACATGGAATAATATACAGGGTGTTGCATTAAAGAAAAAGCTACTTTGTTTCGTCATAACTTTTTGACTGATCCTGTATACTTAATTTTTCTTTATTGTAATAGGTTAAAAAAAATAAAACGTTTGCGTCGATGATTTTTCGATAGCTATCTTACTTTAGGAGATATCGACCATTTCCATACATATCAGCAATCGTGTATATTAAAAATAAACTAAATTATTTCCACTTCGAGTGATTACCGATTATTTTACCGAGTTAAATAAGTATGAGTTTTATATATCAAGTTTCGATTTTGGGTTTTTATTTAACTTTTTTAAAAAATAATAATTTTTTAGGAATTTTTGAAAAAAACACTTTATTCCGAAGTTCTTACATACACGAGTGGTAAACAAGACTGCTCTAATTATTCTAAGTACAGAATATATA